ATGAGAAAGCTATGCTGCTTTTTCTTTCTGAAGAGCTTATAATAAGGTATAAAAGGAAACTTCCTGCTGGAGACAGAAAGATTTGAAAGCACCCACAGTAGCACCCACACCAAACCCACCCCTGAATACCTGTGTATGTTCACATCAAAACTGTGCAAACAGAAATCTCTCTAAAACATTCAAGTAAAGCAAACCGTCAGCTACATCAAGGTGTCGAAACAAATGAGGAATTAAAGTCAGCACTCACCTGTCACACAGTATGACCCAGAAACAAATTAAACAAACAGAAGAACTGATGAACAAAGACACATGTATTAATAATGTATGCTGTTCTCCGTCTACTAATCCAAATAGGAAAATGAAAATGCATAATTTTCAAATAAAAAAAGACGACAGATAATTTCTAGTGATTTGTTTTTAAATGTACTTTTTAAAATTGTTGAGATGTTGTAAGTCAGATCTGGCAGAGTTAAGGATAGTTATTTATAATTTTACAACAAGATACTTTGAGCTGCTCCCTTTTTCACACGGGCTCGCCACAGCAGGTAGCGCTCCGTGCTTAATTTGGCAGATGTTTTTTTTTAAATACCAGATGCCCTTCCTGACGTAACCCAAACAGGTTTGTGTTTTCTCCTAGGATTGAACCTGGAAGCTTTCACTTGCTAAGCAAATGTGTAAACCGTACTGCGGTACTACCACTACTAAGTACTACCACTCTAATCCTCGAATCTTATTTTCTTTATGAGCAAAGCTGTTATTCTCTCTTGGACAAGTAATCATTTTGTGTGCAATTAGTGCTTTCATTCATAGTTCACTTTAGTAATTATTAACTAAGTCGAAGAAAAATGCAAGTCACAATTTAACTGAGACCAGAGTGGTGCCTTTAAATTGCCTTTTTTCCCCTGACCAACCATCAAGCCCCCTAATTACTCAGCTCAGTGTGACATGATTTAAAGCAAAATAGTCACTTAGTGAAGATAGAGAATAACAGTAATTGGGATAAGGCTTAAATGAATGGATGACAGAAAAGTCACAATCTCATCAATGAAATGATGATCCGCATTTCCCCTCGGTTATGTGCTACGTGACGATTAGAAAAGAAGGCAGCGCATGCGACATATATGGGTTTTCCTTCCATGCCTACATGTTTCTTAGGCTATTTCTGTGAGTCATGTTTGCTCTCAGAGGTGTGATTTGAAACTCCAGCAGCAGCCTTGTTTATAGGCTCAGACCCGTGATGAAAATGGTAGCTGCGGGTTGGGAATTTTATTGGTGTTTGTCAAAATGTCCCCTGATAACGCTGTTTGGATGCGCGTTGTATGAGGCAGCCCCTGCTTCAGCATCCTGCAGCATTAAGCAAGACCGATGGAGGTTTAGTTGGAGTACGCAGGTCTACATATGCATTTAAATTCCAGGGAGGGGTAGGGGGTGGGGGGCATCTCCGTGTTTGAGTGACAGCTGTTTTTTTTCTTGTTAGAGAGGAGCCTCAGATATTTTATTTCCACTGCTAAAAATGTAACCAGGGCGGTGTAGCTCATGCCTGCAGTAAGCCGTACTTCATCCTGTGCTTCTGATCCTCAGCGTGTGAGCATGTGTGTGTGTTCATAAACGTGTGTGTGTCTGTGGGCTGTGTGTTTAAGAGAGAAAGTGAAGGGAAGTGTGAGCGAGCGAGTGCCAATCTCCCCCATGATGCTTTGCCATCTGCCATGTTTATGTGTGTGCGTTCGTGTTGTGTGCGCACGGCCCTGTGGGTGTGCAAGCATTTGCGAGTGTCGTTTGCCTACAGGGTCCAGGGTCGTAGAAACATGAAGTAATATCGCTTCTAGTCTGGCCATGTATGTTAGTGATACATGATTTCTACTCCAAATGCCTCCACTCCAAGCTGGCACTAAAACGTGCATAATTCAAGACATGGTTATATTTGTGCCGAAAAAGTTTAAGTGCCCATATTTGTGTACATGATTTCAGAATCACTGATAAAAATGTGAGAGAAGGCTAACTGCAGTGCATGCATTCTCATTAAAATCCAAAAATAACTCAGTGGTGCACAGCCATGTGTTTATTTCTGTTTATTTCAGTTGTGTTCCCTGTAATTATAAATGCCAGACTACGTATATACATATGTATAGCTGGACTGATTCCTCCTCTACAAGACTCCTTTGATGCTTACTCCCAGAACTGGATCCAAATTAAAGGTAAAAGGAATCAACACGAGCCTCCTTATCAGGTGTGCTCACTCACAGCTAACGTGGTGCAGCAGGAAACAGATCTGGTCCTTCCATGAGTGCTCGTGGCTCGTTGTCATGGAGACGGGCCTTGGGAGACCATCTCAACCCACTTGTGGTGCAAGGCATCGCGGGTACGGTGGGAAGGGAGGGAGTGAGGAGGGTGGAGGGAAGGAAGGTGAGGAAAACAAAACATGTCATCTTTCCGAGGGGCCCCAGCGGAGCAGGGCCAGGTTGGATGCCACCTAAACAATGTTATTTCATCAGCCTGATGGGGCACAATAACCGGTGTACGTTTCACCACCTGAGCTTTGGTGTCATTATCGGCTTCCCCGCAATAAATAGCACACGCATCCCCATCAATCTATCTGTCTGGCTGACCATCTGTGTTGTCACACTGAAAAGGTAATAAGCACAACCCCTGCTGTCCTCTCTCTTTCCGGATGCTGAGCTCGGATGATCGGGGTGGGGGGAGTTGCAGTATCTCTGAGGGGTTATTGGCCTGAGTCATGAGAATTTTTGTGCTCGCACCTTTTAATTCTGCTTCGGCAATGAGCAACGTGCCTGGTTGTTGACTGTTTGTATGCTGAGAGGTGAAGACGATTGTTAGTTACCATAAGCACGAGCTCAGATATGCTTAGATGGGCCTGGTCTGCTGGGTCTGCTCCTGCTGGGGCTTCTGTGTATCTGTTTTGGCTTCTTCCCTCAACTTTCACAGCTGTAGGATGCTCTAAGCTCTTTTGTTTGAACTGTGTCAATGGACCAACAACAGCTGGAGCAGCCGGTGCAGGGCAGCTGGGGCGGAGGAAGAGGATTTGTATACAAGCAGGGGTTAGAGTGCGTATAAAAAAAACAAAAACGAGTAAAGGAGATGAATGATCGGGTATCACAGAGAAGATGGCATCGAGGAAGGAAAAGAGAAAAACGGGGAGGAGAGGGGCGGAAGCGGATGAAAGGAAATGGGAGAAGAGGAGATTTCTGGAATACTGAGACTAATGCAGGAGTGTGACGAGAGTAAGATTAAGGATTAGAGGCTGTGCGTCTATAGTGAAGGTAGAGGTAGAGAGGGGTTTTTGTCAGTAGGTGAAAATACAACAGGGAGGAGGGGATAAACGAAATGATAGAAAGGGTTGGACTGAGGTCACAGAGAGATATTAGTGCCACAGCAAATCCAGCACACAGGACAGTGGTAGCAGACGCTGCATCATGCAAGGAGTGCCTAATGTTTCAGTGGCCATGTGGCTCTACGCAGAACGGTAACCCTGGTTAGATTAACGCTGGCAAATTGAGTTTCCGTAAGAGGGGAATTTACTTAACATGCTACCAATGGTGCTCGAATGAGCTCTGATCTGATTTTTCTTATCACATTGTTCAATTGAAAAGGGGACGCTGAAAGCTTTTCTATTCGGCGGCTATTACACGGCGTTAGATAAGGCGAGGGCAGAGCGGCGAGAAGAGTCTCTATCAGATAGACGGCCATGTTTTCAGTCGAGCTATTTTTAGTGTAGGAACTGGCAGACAGTAATGTTTATGAGCAGGTCATTAGCTCAATAAGTGGTTGGAGGAGACTTTGAATATGTAACTCACCAGAAATGCCGCTTTCGCTTAGGAAAGGCGACTAAGTGTCGGCCTGATCGCTGCTCCTCCATTTCTGGCAGCGTATCGGCGGATGTCAGGGTGAAAGTGTGCTTATGGGTGTTTGCGCATATTTATGTGCCAATCACAGCCTGCCCTGTCACCTGTTAATGCTTATTATGTCTCCCTGGGAGCGTATATGTTATCCCGTACTGCTGCTTGAAAGGAGAACATGTATGTGCGTGATTTATGACAGGTTAACAAAGGCTCCTTTCTCATTTGGCCTCCCCACCTGCGTTCTGACACATCGGGTGAGAGGGGTGGGGGTCGGAAGAGCTCGATAGGACTGAGGAGTTATTGACTCCCAGACGGGGAGCTTCTGCACAGCTTGTCTAAATCTCTGTAAGCAGACAGAGCTGAATTATGTTCAGTCTTACAGATTTGTGTGCCCATGTGCGCTTGTGTTTGTGTGAAGAAAGAGAGTGAAAAAAAGAAAAAGAAGAAATGCTGATGGAGATCCCCCCCAAGGCTAGGGATTAACAAGAAGGGGGTACATCTATTAAAGCAGCAGCTTCTGATACGTTTGCCGTTATTGAATTTTGCCGCATTCCTACTGACCCCCCCCCCACTCTTCTTTGTTTGAGTGTTTTCCATTACAGTGGTACACTCTGGATGTATTATTGCATTAACACTTTTATGTGGCACCAGAAAACTAAAATACTGAACGCTAAGAAGGAATTAGGCCAGAGCAAAATGAAATTATTAGGACGTCTTAGAAAAAAAAAGAACTTAAAACTGTATCATTGCAGCTCATTTCACGGCTCACTAGAAAAGAAGACTTATTAATACAGAAGCAGTATGCTGGAAACTATTTCGGTCTGTTTCTTGTCATAGTTATTGAGCAGTGGCTCTATTGTTCTGGTATTAGTTCAGCCAGAGCTGGCCTGCTTGAGCTGTTAATCCCAAGTCAGAAGTGCTCTGACTAAATCAAAAGACCTAATCCTGCATTAGCATGAATATGTCTTTAATTTTCTTCGTGTTTTTATTATTTTTTCTACATTAGTATAAAGTATTGTATGTTTTCCCTCTTCCTTCATGGTGCGTTGACATTTCAGATGCTGCTCTAAAAGCAGAATGATGAATCAGAGGTGACGGAAATATGCCTGACCTTCCTTCTTTTTTTTTCTCTTGTGTCTGCAGAGTGCCTATCCCTGTTGAGTGAAGCCCTACTCAAATCTCCGTCATCTCTAACCAATCCACGGTGGTGCCATGCCTCGGCCCACGACTGGTGGAGTCCTGGCCCAGGCCAGAAGGCCAAACCTGGGGCTGTGGATTAGCCTATCTCCCCTGTGTCTGCTGTTGCCTTTGATTATCCTGCTAACCAGACCTTTGAGCAGCGTGGGTGAAGCACTAGGTACATCTATCTATCTATCTATCTATCTATCTATCTGTCTGTCTGTCTGTCTGTCTGTCTGTCTGTCTGTCTGTCTGTCTGTCTGTCTGTCTGTCTGTCTGTCTGTCTGTCTGTCTGTCTGTCTGTCTGTCTGTCTGTCTGTCTGTCTGTCTGTCTGTGTCTATTTATGTGTTGGTAGTCTTTTTTTGTCTTTTTGTCTTTTTCTCAGTTGAATGGCAGCTGGTATATTGTCAGCAATGAATGCGAGGCACAGACGTGTATATATATGTGGCTGTGTGTGTGTGTGCGTCTTTGATTCTGTGTGTGTGTGTGTATGTGAGTCTATGTGTGCGGTGTGTGTTGTATATGTGTGTGTGTGTGTGTGTGTGTGTGTGTATGAGAGGAGTGGATCCAGGCCCGTCAGCACATCATCTTAGGGCTGTAGCGTTGTTAATGTGTTGTGATAAGCCAGGAGGTTCCATCAGCATGTTCCTCATCATCTCCTTGATTACAACATTTCCACAAATTTCCTGCCTCAGTTGGCCACACACATAAGATACACAAATGCACACACACACACAGCTGTCAGAGCTCTGAAAATGTTACTAAACTGATATATTTAGATTTTCTTGGATAAGAAGGTAAGATAGGTTAAAGACAGAGATGGCACCTCTCACCATTAGATACGGCAGTTGCCTCGTGCATTTTTTTTTCATCTCCCATTTGCGTAACCAATTTGCGTCCACGGTTCTTTTATAAGACTGACATCATATCTGAAATCTTTTTATATTCAGTGAAGAGAAAAAAAATTACACAACAGCCAACTTTCAGCTGAAATGTTGTGGGACTGAATATTGCTGCTTTTTGACCACCTACAGTGTTGCTCAGCAGAGCAGATAGTATTGTGGAGGGGAAAATAATCTTTCTTTCCCTGTAGATCCAAATCTCTCTAGCTTTCTGAGTAACGAAGGAGATAAAATCATAACTGGAATTCTTCCATTAACAATATGTATAGCAGAACAATGACCAAATTAGCCTAGGTAAACAGATTACACCATATAATGGACAATAAGTACTTCTAAAAACGAGAGATTTGCTAGTAGGCCCTCAGTGCCTCTGAGTATTTACTGGTTCAACTCAGCTCTTTTCCAAATGATTGAAAATTAATTTCAGATATTATGCTTCACCATCACTTTGTCGAATTTTATGCAAAACATGGTTAGCGTTTCCCTGACAGCGATCCTCTTCCGAGACAGTGTTCCTTTTATTTTCGTCTCTTATGTGCCCAGCAACACATCGTACTCTGCAGTCATCATCTTTGTATCACAGGAGGTTTTATTTTTAAATTTCCTTTCATTTTTGTCACGCATTTAGCCAGGAAATGCAAACAAAGTTGACAACAAAAAACACACAATCAGGAAGAGATGCATTATTAAAGTGGCTTAAGGGCTTGTCAGACCACAGCTGGTTGCACTAATACCTTTGCCATAAGTAGCGTCTTTTAGAGCTGTACATTTCACAAGAGGTTACTCTAATTCCCCCAAAAGAAAATTTCCAACCCAAACTTATTCCTCTTTAGCCCACAGCGTTACTTGAAACAAGCTCCAAACTCATGGCACTACGCCTGCAGGTGCCAGCTGTATCTCAGCTCAGCAGCAGTCAGTCTTTCAGTCAAATGATTACCGGTTACAAAGGTGCTCCCTTAAAAACAGACAATAGGTATTTCAGTGGTAGACCATCCTGTTCCGTGGAAACAGAGTGGGACTTGGTATTAAAGAGCCACGGTTTCTCATTAGTGCCTCTTTTTTCGGGGCAGCTTTCTGGAATCTTCCTCTCATAACTAGTTGCTGTTCAGTCCACATCCATCCAGAGCCAGTAGCTTGTAGGGCTTTTCTCTGGCTTTCAGAAGAGGCTTAAGTGGTAACACTGCCAGTGGGGTAGGTTTTGCACGCGGATTGGTGTTGAAGTACATTAAAAAGAACATAGAAAACGTTTTGGACTCAAAGTAAAGCCACCGAAAACCATGTTCAATCCCTAAGAAGAACATGAAATTCATTCATAACCCTATAGGATGGAGAAAGCAGTTTCAGCCATGGCATTTAGTCTTTTTTGATTTTTTTTTTTTTTGATAGTTCTTATATTGTTGTCAGAAAAAACCAGCAGCCTGCTCAATAGTCTGTGCTTTTCTAAGAGTCCTCAGAAAAAACTACCCTGCTCTTGAATCCCAAAATGGTGGGCATAAATTTGTTCTGATTGACTCTACTGTACCAGCTTTTTGCTTCTTCCTGTGCGGATTATGGCAAACCACTTTATTTCTGACATTCAGAGTGGGTCTTTAAGAGACAACACGGGGCAGTCGGGACAGGAGCAGTCTTTTGACATAATGTTATTCCAGTTACTGTCAAGGCACTGGGAAGTGTTCTGCATGGCTGTTAACCAACGAAGTGAGTAGGAGTGGGAAGACGTGCAAAAAGGCTTTAGAATCTGCTGGTGATTTCTTGATAGGCATGGCTTCTTTTTTTTTTGCTCCTGTGTGGTCTTCAGAGCAGAAGTGAATCAACACAGGCAGACCTCACCCACCCAGATGTAGGGGAGGAGGCATCCAGGTTGCCATGGTAAGGGTCATCCTGATTTCACCCTGGTGGATAGCGGTGTTTCTGTAGCTGAGGAGGAGTTAAGCTGGGCACCATGGAAACAGGCCACAGACAGATAGCAAAGGGTGGATGCATGAGGTTGTTTGACTGATCTGACTCAGCCGCTGTGAGAAGTGTAGGTTCGCTACGCCTGGCTCAATATCACACTTGGAAATGGCTGTTTTCGTCTTAGAGGGCGACCGCAGCGCTCATACGTCCCACCTAAGATGCTTTCGGCCTCCAAGATGAAATTGTCTCCTTGAGTTGACTCTGAAAATTAACAAAAGCCTGTGCTGCTGTGTTCATTGTGTTTGCTAACATCATCAGGATCTCTGTGCAGTTCTTTGGCATGCACAGGCATAAAATGACACCTCTGATATTAATACATTTAAACCAATTATATGCTGTGAATTTGCAGCCAACACTTCACCTACCTGTGAAACACTCATGTGTCATGACAGCCTGTGCTGCATGAAATACAATGGCAGCCTGCCCTCGAGAAAGCAGAGAGACGGAGAGAGAGAAAGAGATGTTCCTGTGAAGCCCAGCCCCATCTTTTATTTATGGCCCACAGGAAGTCCTTCAGTTTGTCCTCTAGATGATACCCAGGAAGTAAGCACAACACATAGCCATCAGAACACAAGTCGGCCTGACCAGTCACTGACAGTGAAATGGGGCGTGGTCAGCGGGGACGGTTGTTGCTGGTTGTGGAGTTCATTTGTAGCCCTCTGGTGTCTTGTTTTAATTTTCCCCCATCCCTCACTCACTTTTCTCCCTCCTTTTCTCTCTCTCTCTTAGCTCCCCCAAAATTCACCAAGACTCCCACAGACCAGATCGGAGTATCAGGAGGTGTAGCATCATTTGTGTGCCAAGCCACAGGCAATCCCAAGCCCTCTGTCTACTGGAACAAGAAGGGCAAGAAGGTCAACTCCCAGCGTATCGAGGTGGTTGTCACAGTGCTCAATGTTCAACTCCTACTGTAACTGCATGACAGATATGAATATGCAAATCCATTTAAAAAACATGCATATTATTTGAATGTATACATTAATTACAACCTTGACGTTACACTGTAAATAAATTTATACAGAGAGTGGATAGGCGAAAAACTGTTAAGATAAAACTTTGTTATGTATGTGAGAAATAGTTTTTTTTCCAGTTATTTTTTTTTAATTTTAATATAAAATACTAAAAATATGTTTTGGAATCAAGGTATGTTCACAAATTTTTGAAATACACAGACTGGTATCTTTGATGTGTCTGATTAAATAAGAGGCTATACCAGTGCGCTGATTAGCTTAGCTTAGCATACAGAATGGTAGCTGGGTGAAGCAGCTATTCGTTCTTTTTAAGTCTCTGAAAATAAAAATATAAAGGTAATTCATTGTTTGTTTAATCTGTACAATAAGTATAATATGCCAAACGTATTAAAGGGTTTATTATTATTGTTTTTACATGCTAAATCAGTACTCTACGCATGCAATTAGCCAGCTAGCTTGTCTATGCTGAAGCTAAGTGTAGCGCACACCTTCTTTAATGCTGATCTAAGTTAACTGACCTCTTGGCTGCAGCTCCAAAGTTAAACAGGTGGTATCAGTATTATCAAGAAGATAAAGAGACCCAACATTTAAACTATTAGTGAAAAATAATTGTTTAAAAATACATGTTTCCAATATACAGTAGATCACAAGGTTCCATTAAACGTCCGATCATTTTACAAACCTAAAATAAAACTAATCAATGGACCCTTAAGTATTACTGACTTTACTTCCTATTGAATTCACATATTGCTGTCATGGAGCTATACAGCAGCCTAGTCCAGAGAGTAAATTCTTGTGGCTCAGTAGAGGCCTGACTGTGTATTGATCCTGTGACCTAATGGTTAGAAATACTCAGTTTCTACCAGAGGACCTCATTCAACCCCCCCATCTCAGTAAGTATCAACCCAGATGAAGTGTATTTGTGCAAGAAACTGCCTCCTTCTTTACCCGCTCCAGGTAAATGTGTGAGCACAGGTAAATGTTTTGTATCTGTGCCTGACCTCTAGCATTTCCGTAGAGAAGAGCAAACAAAATCATTATTTGTATTTATTATTATTATTTGTATTTCTTTTTTTCTGGTGGGGCATGATGAAGTGCTTAGCTGTAATTGTTGTGATATTAACACAACACACACTGGGCCGAGGTGCTGACATGCAACATTATAGTCAGCTGCTCTAATAGTAGGGTTTATGTGCCTCCTCTGCTGTGACTAATATGTCTTGTTCTGTGGCTGTCCAGACCATAGAGTTTGATGATGGTGCAGGTGCTGTGCTGAGGATCCAACCACTTAGAGGTCCCCGAGATGAGAACACCTACGAGTGTGTGGCACGTAACAGCGTAGACGAGAAGTCTGTCACTGCAAAGCTGTCCATTATCAGAGGTAAGACAAACAAAAAACCCTCACATATACTGTACACACACACGCACACACACTGTGTCTACTCAAGAGGTGCTTTCTTTTGCACGCTCGCCTTCAACCGGCATCCCTGCTTCACTGAGCTGTCAGTCGTAGATGTAACAGCGAAGCAGGGCCGCACCCTGCCAGCACAGGAGGCTGCAGGGAGCTGCTCTTTTTATAGTCCCTCTGAGTGCAGCGAGCGTGATCTGGCCACAGAGAGGGCCAGCTAGCATGCTAGCTAAGGGGCATTTTAGCAAACTGTACCGGCTTGCTCTAAACGTTGCACTTCCCGTCCAGAGCGAGGGTGTTAATCGAATGTACACTGGCCCCTTGAAGGAAAACTTATCTAATGTGGAGCTCCAACATGTTATGGACTAAAATTGCAGCATGTGGCTGATAGCTTGGCATGAGAGCACCTACCATCTACCCAGCACAGCAGGAATGAAAGAAGAAACAGAGGCATGACTGCTCAGGCTGTTAATACATGAAGGAAAATCAAGGGATTACGCCCTGGTTTGGCAAAGAACCTTTGCTCGCTAGGAGTAAATAAGGAGGAAAAAGGGAAAGGGGGGATGGAAGAGGTCAAATGGAGATGATGGAAGATGAAAAGATGGCAGTAAGTTGCGTAACACAGCAGGATGGTGTGAAACAAAAGAGATTGAATGGGATGTCATAGGAGATGGGGTTTGGTGGGAGGTGGGGGTGTAGGAGTGAAGGAGATGGATGAGGATTGTGGAGCTGGCAGGGCGGTGTGGTAAGCAGAAGGCTGGTAGCCCAGGGAATAGACTCCTGTCCATCTGTTACCCAGCCCATCCTCTCTGCACACACAGCCCCAATCTAAAGCACATTACCACATAAACTACACCTCGAGGGCGAGCTTCCCAGTGTGTGTGTGTATGTGTGTGGTCGTGTTCGTGTGTGGGTGGTAGTGTGTTCCTGGTGCCATAACCTATTCTCTCAACCCGTTCTGTGTGCGGTGATGTCCCCATCCCTTCAGTGATATTACAATCTTCAGTCTTTGAGAGCAGAGTGAAGGGTAGCAATGAATAAGATAATATTTCACCGAGAGTACCAATCAGAATCAGAGCTGACTGTAGCTGTAATAGTTAGATTTGGCCTGAATGATCATGCACAGGCACGTCTCTGGCATTCAGTTGGCAATAAAGGCAATAATTTTGTGTATATATTATTTTTTTTGAGAGTTTTATGCTGCTTAGAAATTTGTTGCACATCAGCCATTTTTTGTAAGCTGTCCCTTTAACGTATCAGGGCGCATGAAGTCATTCTGGAAAGTGCTGCACATCAAACAACGGTGTAGGCTGGTTGTCAAGGTTGTCCACTAATCCCGGGGTTGGTGTTTTAATCCCTGGCCATTACCCTCGGACAATACACTAAACCCACAGTTGCTAGTGATTCCTGTTGAAAACCTTGATTTGCGTGAGCTGAGGTTAAAATTTTAACATGATGAACAATTTATTTTTAGATGATTAATGCCTGTGTATTTTAAATCAAACTTTTCAGAAAATTTTAAAGTAAAGATATAAAATAAAATAAAAGTTTGTTACCAAGATGTTTCTAAGTGTTTTTAAATTTATATTCAAAAGTAAATCTAAAGCTTCTTTGCTCTATATATACATAAACACGAGGAGAGGGATTTAAATTACCTGCAAGTTACTGCGCAGTTTTACTTCAACTTTACACAGTGACGGCACCTCCTCCTACTTCAAACATGACAGGATACTCCCAGTGTCTTGCACCCATGCAGCCTACTGTAGGCTCAGTGATATTCTGCAGAATAGATCATGTCATCCAAGAATGCTGTTAAGTGCACAAATGTCTGCAGAAATTGTGCTTGGGTCAGTCTTTAGAAAAGAACCAGTCCATCGTAGAAAAGGTCCACCACTGAAGTAGAAAAAAGGCTTTCCATTATTGGCCAAAACCCTTCCACTTCCACTGAAAAGTCTTTTTCATCCACTGATGTGCTTTATCTCATCGTTCTGTATAATGGTGGACTAAGACTAATAGCAGTTTCGTACAGAGTGAGGGGCTTGCAGTTGGCCACAGGATATTTACTGCTGCACTGTTGGCTGCCTAATGGGTGGAGATGTGGTAGGTTATGGGCTTTCACCAACATCATCATCATCTTTATCATCCTCACACATTACCTGTAAAATGACCTTTTTTCCTCCTTATATCTTTCTTTCTTTAACTCCAGGAGCCGTACTTTGGCCCTACAGCAATATCCGTTTCTAATTTCTTCTCTTCTGTTTTATTCATGCTTTCATTTTCTTAGCCATCTATTCTGTCTGTCTGACTCTGTTTTTAACTCCTCCCGTTGCATTGCTACATGCCCTCCGCTGCTCCACCCCTTCCCCTTTCCATCCCAGCTGCTCTTTTCTATGGACACTGCAGTTGTGTTGCTCTCCCTTCAGGAGACATGAATATCTGCAGCTCTGCATGTTTGAAAGCCTCCTGTGGGCGAGAGATTCTCATCACCGCAGCGCTGTATGTGTGTGCGCTGGTAAGCGTGCGCACGGGTGTGTGCGTGAGTGCATACATTTGTGTGCGTGTGTATGTCTGGTTTTGTGCAAAGTAATCCTGATTATACTCACCTCCCAGTGTCCCATTTTAGGAGAAAGGCAGGCGGGGGATGGGGGAGAAACAGGGTGAGAGAGAGAGAGAGAAAAGAGGGAAGAGAGATGTTCTGCCACCACGGCAAACACCCTTCATATGAACAACAGAGTCAGATCAGTGATTCCCCCTAGGCGTCTGCTGCATTGGCAGGCCGGCGGCTCAAGCAGCATTTCGGTCTGGAAACAACTAAGAGTATCTACTCAGCCTGCAGGAGGATTACACTCCTCGAGTGGAGAACTGGCTGTTTCATCATTTTTAACCCCTCGTCTTTGCTGTTTATATTTGGTCCTTCTTTCATTTTTTAAATTCTTCTTGAATGTTTATATGTGGTTCGGGAATCAGCCTTACATGTGGGATCCTGTTTAGTCCTGGCCCCCTAAAGTAGGGCACACAATGGTGAAGACACATGGGTTTTTCATGTGATTGGTCTACAAAGTCTGCATTTGCATTGCATTGTGATCTATTATCATAAAGGTCTATTAGCATTTAAAGTGCTCCCCTTCAGCCCTCCTGCAGTCAATAGAAGTCAAAGCATTAGAGCCTCTGAAGACTGCTGAGTGCGAGCAGATTAATCCTGAATCAGGCTCCCCGAGATCGGCTTTTATTCAGACTTCATTCATGCACATGGCCATTTCCCACTGAAATGAACTGAGAGATGAATAGGCAACCTGTTTCTTAACTGGGAGAAATAATGATTTTTTTCCGCGGGGAAGCGGGCGTGTTTGTGTGTGAATGTGGGAGAGAGAGAGAGTATCTGTTTGGGTTTCTGTGCGCGTGAGACGGAAATACAAAGAGGCACGGGGAAAGAAAACCTGGATTCATGTTTGTTTGTTTGCATCATATGCATTATGTGTTTGACCCTTTGGGTGTTTGTGTCTTTCCGTTCTACTGCCGCATGCGTGTGTGCATGCACGGACACACAAATTGCATATTTGCCCAGAACTGGTTGGCTCTACTGACTGGTTTTGGGCACTAGGCCTGATTGCCCTTCTGCAAACATAACCAGGCCAAAATGTACGCGCTCAACCTCTTGATACACACAAATACAAAGCTCCGGGGAACAATGCTGCTCGACCCTTGCCAATGTTCCCCCAAACGCTGTTGACACACAGAGTGTTTGTATACACATGCCACATTTTTCCATAGGCTATCTTATCAATTTAACCAGGAGATGAAAAATAAGCGGCACTTTTGTGCAGCAGTGTTTGCTCTTGATAAATGATTCATTTTAGAGGAAAGTGTGATCAAGGCCATGCCCGCAGTATCTATTTCAAGCGGTCGCTGACTCATCCAGGAGCCTGGCTGAATACCTGTAGCTCCATATTCTCCTCTCTGGTGAACTGTACTTTAGTGTCCTGTACTGTGGAATGGGTTATCTGCATCTGCGGGGCAGTGCTGTTGCTGCTGTGTTTGTGTCCTTTTAATTGAGCCAGTCTATTAAAACAGCTGGCTTTGGTTTTAACAAAGCTGTTTCCTACATTTTGCCCTTTAAAGAAGGGTTTTGTTATCTTATGTTGCTCTACAGTTCAGTGGAAAAGGCATTAGAGACCTTGCAAACTGATGCCTTCTAATTACTATTATATTATATTATATTATATTATATTATATTATACATTGATGATGATCAGGTCCATAGACGGATAATTTTCTTATTTATGAGTGATGATATAAAAAAGTTAAATTAATTACAATTACAAATGAAAATGTCAGTGTTAACAAACTGAATGAATTAAAGAAATTAGGACATTTTTTTAACTTACCTCATTAATGCAGCTACCATCTTGGCATTAGTGTTAGGGTATTAAACACGAGGATTTAATATAAGATAATTCATAGACGTTTAAAACAACCATGAAACATTAACTATCATGAAATGTTAATCAAATAAAGCAACAGATGAGGGTTAAAAAGGCCATTCTTTAACAGGCACTCACTTTCCGTCTGTATCTAAGAAATATGAGAGCCCAGGTAAGGGCAAGCAGGATATTTTAGATAATTAAAGCTGTTTTTCTAACACAGCTTTGTATATATCATAACATCATAAGGATTGTGCCATCCTTTTGAGGTTTTAGATCATCAAACATCTTTGTCAAATTGTAATATTACACAAAGATAACCTGAGAAAATGTAAAGAGAAAATCTTTTCATTTCATTTCCAAACCCCCTAACCACAAATCCTGTGTAAAAAAAAAAAAAAGGAAAAAATTAATTGTCTCTGAACCTAATACCTGATAGTGCTACCCTTAGCCCAAGGAACTGCAATCAAGCATTTGTGCAACGAGTCTTTCATTTCGCTGTGGAGGAGATTTGGCCCACTCCTCAGAATTATTTTAATGCAGCCACAGTGGAGGGTTTCTGAGCGTGAAAAAGGTTACGCCAAAACATCTCAATCTGATTGAAGGCCAGGTTTTGATTAGGTGTCTCCAAAGCTTCTTTTTCTTTTTTTGAGCTATTCAGAGGTGGACTTGCTGGTGTGTTTCGGATCATTGTCCTGCTACTTGAGCTTCCGGACACAAACTGTTGCCCACACATACTCCTCCAGGATTTTCTGGTGGAGAGCAGAATTCATGGTTCCATCAATCACAGTGTCGCCCTGAAGCATCAAAGCAGCCCCAGACCATCACACTACCACCACTATGTTTGACTGTTGGTATGATGTTCTTTTTACAAAGGACAACAAATCAGTATGGATTTAAAGGAGCTTGCAAAGAAAAGCGTCTGGACTTCTTTAAGTTACTTGAAGACGTTTCACCTCTCATCCGAGAAGCTTCTTCAGTTCTAAGGTCAAATGGCTTCTCGGATGAGAGGTGAAACGTCTTCAAGTAACTTAAAGAAGTCCAGACGCTTTTCTTTGCAAGCTCCTTTGACTACGATGACCTGGATGACTGAGAACCTTCACAGACAGTATGGATTTAACTTAAATGGGGAGCTAGCTTTAAAGGGAATGGAGTTAAAAATGTTCATTTTATACAGAGGATGAATTGGATGAACTGGGTGCTGCAGTAGAAGATAAACTCGGATTATTTTAAACAGTTAATGATGCAAAACAATTCTACTCAAGCTTGAAATGAGCAGAATTTTAAAGTTAAAATGACTAACTTAACCCTTGTTTGTTTTCTACACTGCTGAATATCCTTAGCTATCTGAAAAGCATCGTTGGGTTCTGGATGCTTGCAAAGATTCACTACTATTTTTCCTCTTTTTGTGGTATTTTACAGCACGGCAGTAAGTGTCTTTAATCCCTCTCTCTATCACTCTCTCTGTTTATCTGTCCGACTCTCTCCATTTCTTCTAATTCTCTCCAAGTGTTCAGTCCAAGGTCCACCCACACCATGTATTTGCAGCATTAATAAAGACCTGAGTGGAATATAGAGCCACACGCCCTACAGACACACACACGCATGCATTGTATATGCACATGCCTTGAGCCCAGTGCTGTGGTGTGCTCTAATTAACAGCCAGGGAGTCCATGTTGTGGTAGCTGGCAGAGTGATAAAAAGACCATCTGAACCCTCTCAAGAGAGGGGTAGGATTCGGGGAGGGGAGAGGGGAGCAAATGTAGGCCTAGCATATTCCTCGCCTTTGGGAGTTCACCTTCTGACCTGCCCATCGATCTCCCTCTTCTCTTTCCTTTCTCTTCCTGTCTATTTCATCAGTGGCCATACCACTAGCCTCCATTCAGGTAGATCATTAGTATTGATCTGTCAGGGATGCTGAAGGGTTGGGGTGGGGGGGGGTCTCAGAAGTGTTAGCGTGGTCCACTCTGCCCACTCCAGTCTCTCCTGTCTTCACGAGGCCTAATTGTTGCACTAAACATCTTGATCATCAAGTTTTGATTCCTCTCTTGCTTTTTTGTGGCATTTCTCCACTTTCTCTTCTCAGGCGCAGCATCAGCAACAGCTTGACATTCCTATCTGACGAGGTCTCTCTAGCGCTGATGACTGTAGAAAGAGAGAAAGAGAGCGATAGATCCTATCTCAACTCAGCCTCTCATCCCCATCACAGAGTGTGTGGGAACAGATGGTATATGTCTGTCATGTGGTTAGGTAGCAGGGGGCCCGGAGGAGGAGTGGAGGAGAGGAAAAACACACAGACAGTTGACGTGGCCACGGTCTGCATCTTGGACTGCGTTCAGCTCCAGATATGTCTGTGATTCTGGGCTCAAGCAAAGCAAACTTTAGCAGGTTTTGTTTTGTCTGACAATCAAGATGTTCCGATGGGTTTGATTTATTAGCCAAGGAAATTGCCATCTCGTTGCTTCGCTGCTGCGGGAATGTGGATTTATAATTATAGTTCCAGGTATGGAGGAGGTGTCTGTGTGCATGTGTGAGAAAGAGAGAGTGGTTTAAAGGGTAAGGAGGAAAGGAAGCAGGAGGGCTGATGGATGCTTGATTACGTGTCTGGCCATCTGGACTGTTGTCACTGAGACTCTTAATCCCATTCACCAGAGAAAGTGTATGTGAACGTGTTTGTGTATGTGTGTGTGCGAAATAGAAAGCAACTGCTTTTTTGCGTGCACACACTTATTTTCCTGGATATGTGCGATCGTGCCGCTCAACATTATTCGACACTTTGCAGAAATCTGTGAAGATGCTAATGAGAACATAGCCATAGAAGCAAATATGTACACACAGCCAACACACAAACACACACACACACTTGTCCTCAGCTCCTACAACGTAATAAGACATATCCAGACGCATTCAGACACATCCCAGATCGGCCTCTCTAATCGTTGGTACATTTTTACAATTACTGCTAACAAGTCCTTATTACCCCCAGTGCCCTGCCCCTCCTCTGGTCCCAGCTTCTAATTGCCGCTGCTGTTTCTGAGCAGCTTTCTGAATAGTTATTAGACAGGAATCGTTAGCACCACATAACACAGAACCACACCTTTGAAAACTCGTAGTTCATCGCCACTGCCACCAAACACCTGTAATTCTAGGTTAGTAATGTACTGCAAAGCCTGTGTGTGTGTATTTGTGTGTGTGTGTGTGCGTGTGTGTAGGCACTTAAGTAACTCCTGCTGACTGGGCGGTATGTTTATACTCTTCCAGAAATGGCCTGTCAAACACACAGAAAAATCCTAGCTGTGTTTCTGCCCGCCTGCTATATCACCTAATGACTAGCTAGCTGTAGGAATGAACACACAACTTTGATCACCAAGGCTATAGTGGCTCTGCTGTCTTTGCTGATATCTTTGCTTTCATAAGCCTACTAATGTTTAAGCAGCTATGAGGGGGGAGCTTTCACATCACTGCATGTGTGGGAAAGGAAGGACTGAATGCATGGCAGTAGAAGCTGATACATCCGTTATTTGTTTTAGAAAAACTGAGCCTTCACTGTCCTCATGAAATAAGTACACATACTGCACTTCGCCCCACTCTAACCCTGTACTTTGATTTACACAGATTCAGAATCAGAATACTTTATTAATCCCGAAGGAAATTAGGGTTACAGCAGGCAGCACGCTAATGGCGCATGCGCACTTACAAAGTCATGGACCTCAGAGGATGTCCTATGGTGTCTGGCACAGGGACTTTGGGACTTTGGCAGCAAATCCTTTGGGTGCTGTGGTGGTTGCCGGTGGGGCTTCAGTAGAATCGTGTTTTTCAGGCATACTAAAGGATTTCTGAGGAATTTGGAGACGTGGTTAGCACCATAGGCTCTTTGTCTTGTACCTTGGGTTGTTTAGGAAAAGATTTTTGCAACATGGTGAGGCGTCTTGCTAGGGGAGGCTGGTGCTCCTGTTGCTATGGGTTGATGTGATTGGTTAGCAACAGTGTTGAAGGGTGGTATGTGTGAAAACAGCATGCACATGTGTTGTCGTGTTTCCTAGCACTGCACTGTACTATATGGGGATGATCACTGTTCAGTGTATGACGTCTTCCTGTTTGCCTCTAGCACTAATTAGCAGATCGTAGCATGCTTACATGCTAAACTAATGGTCAAAACACAAGTCATTATATGTGCTAAATATACATGTTAGCTCCTGTTATCATATGTTACCAGCAGACATGCGCAAGTAGTGCAATTAGACATTTATATTTCATGTTTTAAATGCTGCACATTTCATACTCTTTTCTTTCTCTTGATGCTTTCAGAGGACCTGTTGCCATTTGGCTTCCCTAGTATAGACATGGGCCCTCAGTTGAAAGTGGTGGAGCGGACAAGGACGGCCACCATGCTGTGCGCTGCCAGTGGCATCCCGGACCCCGAGATCTCCTGGTTCAAAGACTTCCTGCCTGTCGACCCCAGCACCAGCCAGGGTCGCATCAAACAGCTCAGATCAGGTGAGACAGGTGACTTTTAGTCAGACTGTTTGTATTTTCCACCAACGGAACCAACAGTGCATTTACAGCTTTGCACTTTTTTGCGATCAGGTAAATCCCTGTTGCTCTAAATTTGGTGATTATTTTAATTATGATTGAGGGATTACATGCTGTTCTCTAAGTTTATCTCTCTCCTTTGGGGGTATAAAACCTTTTTAAAGCCAATTTCATAAAAAAGGATAATTGTGCCATCCTTAAGCCATGAAAAAAATATGCTGTTTATTAGCATTTGGGAGAACGGATTATAAAAAATATATATCACTTAAAAGGCAAAATTTGCTTTCCATTAAGTATCATAATTATAAGAAAAAAATAGCAGCATATAATTGTATAGTCATTTCAAATGGGTTCAGAAATTTCACATAGAATGAAACTGTCTTCCTCAATTTATCCCAAAGCAACCACAATATCCTCTTTTCTGATGTCAAATGTGTTTGGCGCTTCTTAAAATTAAGCATTTAACTGGTGATGCTTTTATTTTGACCCACTGCCTAAATGTGCGCGACATAGCTCAGTGTCCCAAAATGTGAAGGTAAGCTCTCTTTACCAGAGACACAAAAAGAGAGCAAAGACGATGTGTCTGCATACCAAAGAATCACATTGTGCGCTTAAGACAGTTTATTCAGCTTTGTTTATGCTCTTCTGTATAGATGAGTACAGTGTCTCCAGGAGAAGGCAGAAACATTTTTTTTCTCAGCCTTTCCCACTCAGCTGTCCTCAGGGGGAATGAAAGTGATGGTGAAGCGAAACCATTTTGTTGTTGTTTCATCCATATTCTCTGTGCTGCTCCGGCCTACCAGCTCTGATATATCCCTCCTGTCAGCCAATATCCTTTACTGATCACCAGTGCCCTCCGTTAGCTGTGTCTTTGCATTTCCATTTGCCGAATTTATAATGTTTAAATACATTTACCATGTTGTCCCAAGCAACAAGTTACCTTTCTTAATGGCTTGTGATCCATGTCAAAGAAATCCTAATGAGAGCTCCTATACAGTGTTTTATATCACTGTTTAGGACTGGTTAACAGCAATAAAACAAACCATGCTTTAGGGCATGGGAAACATTCTGGAGTTACAGTCTCTTTGTTCCCTTGTGTGCTCTTACTATATTTGGACATTTGAAGAGCACACAAGGAAATAAATATGTTTTACTCACAGCTTCAGGAAACCCAGCATCAGTAGATGTGGCCGGAGAAACAGGCTCTGGCAGGGACCGGGCATTGGCAGGTGTGGCGGAAATGCAGGCTCAAACTGCGGCTCTGCAGGGCACACAGCATCAGAGGGCTGGGGCTGCCAATTCCGGCATCAGGAACCACGCTTTCTCTTCTAGGGTGGAAGCGTGGTTCCTGATTCAGCTCGTCAAGAGCTGAATATGTGCAGCAGTAAAGAATATAAGCAGTGCTGACAACCCCATTTACCTATGAAACACGGAACAAAATTTAAAACAGACATGATTCTCAGAAAAAACCCAGGAGCTTGACAGTGTGGATACTTTACACAGACAACTGTAGTTAAACTACAGAATTATACAGTTTCTTTGTATTTCAAATTTTAAGACAAGGCTTTTTAGTTGAAGACTAATTAGTAAGATAAGATAAGATAAGATAAGATAAGATAAGATAGAACTTTATTAATCCCTCGGGTGGGTTCCTCTGGGAAATTCGACTTCCAAAAAGCACAGCAACGACCGAAGTTACAGTTACAGAATTGTTATATATATATATATATATACACACACACACACATATATATAAATACAGAGACAAATATAAATAAAATATACAAAGGGGATAAATAGAATAAATAGGAATAAAAAATAAAAGTAGGTCTGGCAGTTGTACTTCTCATTTGGCTACCATGTTTGGCTAAGACTGGACTGGAGTGGAACTGCAATAAACCACTGGACAAAGCCATAATGTCTGCCTAATCTTAGATGGCATGCACAACCAGCTAAGATGTGTTAGTACAACACTTTGATACACCTTGAATCCTGGAAATAGATGAATATTAACTAAAGATGAGTTTAGTTTCCTATAGGTAGTGAACCAGCTAGCAGGAAAGCTAATGATTGCGGCTTATTGAAAGATAAATAAACGCATGTGTAATCCAGCCAGTTTCGTTTCTTTTTTCCTCGCTCATTCGTATTCTTCAAACACAGCTTATCGTCCAGTGCACGCTGCTCCAGCACCTGCAGAAATACACCGGCTGTTTCAAGTAGCCATAATTATGAAGAGAAACCCTAAATTGAGTTCTCTAAAGAAAAATAGGACTTTTAAACCTGCATATTCAGCAGAACAGTATTTTATTATTCACAATAAATTATATTCATTTCTTTTTATTCATTTTGGTCCCCTTGGTGCAACACCAAGTACAGAGCCTCCCCTGGTCACGCACGCAGAGCAAAGGGATGGCAAAGGACGGCCACGACCACTACTGACTAGTCTGGCACATACAACCAGTGGGGAAGCCCATTAGGGGAGCTGCACATATACTAGAACTGCAATTGCAATTATCTTATGACCTTCATGAACAATAAAAAAACAACAAATGTTGTTATTTACTGTTTCCTTTTCACATTGTGTACTTCTACATGGCAGTGGGGATATAGATAGAAAGATAGATAGAAAGATAGAATGAGTCAACCAAGTAAGAAGACTTAGAAGACATTTACTTCAAAGTAAAACAGGAAGCAACCAAAGTACCAATGCAAAACATGGAGGCAAGAAGACTCCCAATAAACATGAAAACAGAGACGGGGAGTACTGAGGGGCAAATGCATAAACACAAAAAGACAAAGTCGAGGAAGGAATAGATAATGAAACGCTGAAGCAACCGAACACAGTCAAAAAATAACAAACTCAAAATAGGACCTGAGGCTTAACACAAACAAATAATTCAAATTTAAGAACAGTAAGGCAGTCTAAACTGGTACCCAAACCTCCCCAGAAATGAAACACCGAAAATCAAATAAAACAAAAAGAACTAATGCTGAAAATTACTAGAATGATAATGAAGTCAAGGTAGGAATCTAAAACTCCACCTAACAAAAATCAAAGTACCAAACGTACATGTATAGACTAAGTATTTGAACCTCAAAATCCACACAAAGCACACAATAAGAGTGAGTGACCAGAAAACAAAGACTATCACTGTTATTACATCAGAATGTGCAGAAATAAAAAATTACAAAACATCAGTATCTGTGCCACCTCGGTAATGGTTGCAGCTTATACCACACCTGATCATCACTGGCCATGCTTTTATTTTTATTTTTTTTATTTTAGTTGTCCTTTTTTTAACTAAACTATAACAACTGCTAAATTGTAGCCACCTAAAATTGTACATTTACTTGATCTGCTCTGAGACGTTTGCTCCCTGCTTGTGTGTCATGCAGACATGACAATGATTCAGTGGTACAGTATGTTAGGACACATATCACATCAATGAAACAGTAGCAAGACGAATGGCCTACTGAGATTCACCCCAGGCTTTAATAGGATTTGAAATCACCAAAACCATCACAAAGCCAAACAACAAAATGTGCTGTATAATGAACCGAACAGTGCAGCGAAATGACTTGGAGGAAATCAATTACACCTGAGCTGGGCAAGAAATGCGTTATGGATGAAACACTCCTTTAAGATTTGTTTAATGGAGGCACTTTCCGAGCAATGCTTCTGATTTAGTGGATAGCTGCCAGCTCTTATTGGACTGCAGCCAGGAATGTGTTTTGGCCACAGTCATTCTGTTCTCTCTGTCTCTTTTCTTCTTCTGTTGGCTCTTGGAAATACTTTTATGAGCCATATGGGTCAGGAAGAAAAATGAGATAGAGAATGACTGCAGTAGAATCCCACAAAGGATGTCTCATCTTAGCCATTTCATAGCTCATAAGTATCCATCATGTGTGGGGGCTTATCACTGCAGATAACTGTCCACGGTGGCCTTTGACAGCCGTGAACTCTGTGTTTACCCACCTCAAATGCACACATACTCACCCCATCAGTCCTCGGTGACAGAAACATATGGGGTGGTATAGAGATGAACTTTTGCTGGCATCTGTATGCCTCGATCAGGTATCTATCTTTTTTCCATGCCATCTGCTGCACCAGTTTGTATGTGCATGAGGAGAACCATGACAAGCTATCTGTCTGCCCCTGACATTTGGGACTTAGAGCTGGAAAGTTAACCTAAGCACTTAACAGCTTATGTAGACCCACACTCTTAACAGATGGCATTCAGTACGGACCCTGAGGTTGACTCCAGGATTACATATGCAGACTCTTTGGTAAGGACTAAGACGTGATGAAGGTTAATGGTGTATGTCAGTTTATCTGTTGACGTCAATACAGAACACTTTTTTAAAGTAAATTTTTGCATGCACCAAACAAAATTGGTTATTCATTTTTAACACCTATATAGGGTTGCGTCAAAGAGACTGACCCAAAATCGCGCATCATCGTGAAATGCTATTTTCACAGAGTTTATATTTGGTTGGCTGTTACTCAGCAGAATATTTCACAACCAGATTTTAAGAGAATTTGAAATTGGGACTTTAGCCAAAGTAAATCATTCATTTTTGGTAACAGTCTGTTTCTAAGAAAAGAAAAATCTAAAAATGGTGAGCAGTACAAATCCTTTGACAGAACGTGCTTTCAGGCTGACAGAAAAAGTGGAACTTGTGACACGGATAAATCTGCAGACTGACAATTAGGAATCGTTTCTGTCTCTGTGTGCGAGAATAAAAACCAGAACTAAGTCAGAACCTGGAAATTTTGAGCGTTTTTGCGTCTATATTCATTATCGATTTATTAAGTAACTGCTGCGTTAAACCATACCTAAATTGCTGCGTAACACTTTGCTTTGAGGCTTTTCTGTTCATGTTTTAGTGAAATGTGAAATTAAAGAGCAGGTTGATAATGGTTTGGAAACAACAGTTTCGGTTTTAAAAATTACCAGCAGTTTATTCGTAACTGTGTTGCGTTCGTAGTAACTGTCCTTTGTGTCGACGCTTGTTAACATGTGCCTCCGGTTAATTTAATGTCTCAACTTGTGGGAGACTGGAGCCCAAGTGATCTGTTTTACCTCAGTGTCCCATCAGAGCTATCAGATTAACAGTATCCGCTGTCATCTGATCAGCTGAGTCTCAGCCCACAGAAATAATACACCATCCACGATTTCACAGTAGCTCAATTTACTTAAGTCACATCTTATTCTGGGCCTGTCAGCATCCCAAAACTGCTCTCTCTCCTCGTCTCTCTTCTTTTACTTTTTCGACCTTTTGCTTTGCCGTCCCACAAACCATCATCACGTCGTTTTGACGCCCGTTTTCTGTCTGCGCTATGTGCTTGTGTACATAAGTTTTGACCTGCTGACCTTTCTATGTATATATTCAGAACACCTGTCCACCCCAGTGTAATGTAATGTCATGTTTTACAGCAGTAGATTACAACTGGCAATTTCAAATTTTCGCTGCTTGTTAGCCACACGAGCTGCTTCCAGCTGTCGCACAAGTTCTCGTTTGCAGATCTAAACCGGTCCATTTCTACCTCTCCACCTCCTCGCCATCTTTCCTCCCACTGCTCCTTTCTTCCTCTGCTTTCTGGTTGAGAAGAAGGCTCTTCTTGTAGAGCGGATAATTTATTCCTGTTTGTTTCCCAACTCTGCCCTGAACCACAGGGAAATGAGAGATGGAAAATAGGGAGAAAGAGGAGGGCACGAGCTGTTCTGCTGTCATGTAACTGCAGAAGACAGAAACAAATGGATGACAGCTTCAGCGAGCAGCGTCTCAGCTCACCTAACACGTTCCCTCCTTTAACCCTCTGAAATCACAGCATTCAAACTTCTTCATAAGCTGACCTGCAAGTGTGTCTGTGTATGTGTGCGTGTGCAAAATCTACGTATACTAAGACACACAAAATCTGTCTGTATGTGTGTACATAACCTTAAATATGAGGTTTTATTTTGGTGTAACAACCACCTTATTAAGTGTTTGGTGTTGATCCACTGGGATTTTCCCACACCGCTGTCTCCAGGAAGAATGGTAGAAAAAAGAAAAAATATCCAGTGAGCAGCGGTTCAAATGCCTTGTCGATGTCAGAGGTGAACGGAGAATGGCAAGGCTGCTTTGAGCTGAGAGGAAAGCAACAGTAACTCAAATAACCACTCATTCTTACCAAGCCATGCAGAAGATCTGAGCTCAGCCTTTGACACCATTTCTCACTCTGTCCTTCTAAGCAGACTTTCCTCTCTTGGCATCTCTGACTCACCCCTCGCCTGGTTTCAATCATATCTCCTCGACCGTTCCCAGTTTATTCAACTAAGATCATTCCGCTCTCGTCTATTCCCCGTCACCTCTGGTGTACCCCAAGGCTCAGTTTTAGGCCCTCTTCTCTTTATAATATACATCCTCCCTCTAGGTACCATCTTCCGCAAATTTGATCTTCAGTTTCACTGTTTTGCTGATGACACCCAGTTATATCTCTCTTGCAAACCTGATTCCTCCCTCCCACCTTCTTCCCTTACAGAATGTCTATCCGAGTTAAAATCCTGGTTTGCCTCTAATTTTCTAAAGCTCAATGAGGATAAAACTGAGATCCTCCTTATTGGCACCAAATCCAACCTTTTGAAGGCGAACCATTTCTCACTCACCATCGATAACTCCACAGTTTTCCCCTCTCCTCAGGTTAAGAGCCTTGGTGTCATCCTAGACAGTTCACTTTCCTATAAATCTCACATCAATAATCTCACCCGTTCTGCCTACTTCCATCTACGTAACATTAACAGATTGCTTCCTTCTCTTTCCACCCAGTCTACGTCCATTCTTGTACATAGTCTTGTTACCTCCCGTATTGACTAATGCAATTCTCTTTTGCATGGTCTCCCCCAAAAATCCCTCCATAAGCTTCAACTGGTTCAGAACTCTGCTTTTATTGTTCTTATTCTGCCATTGTTTTACTAAGTGTTTTATCTTATTGTAAAGTGTCCTTGGGTGACTTGAAAGGCGCTCATAAATAAAATTTATTATTATTATTATTATTATTATTATTATTAAGAGCATCTCTGAAAGCTCTTCTGCAGTTTTTTCCTATCTTCATGGACAACAGAAGATTCTGCCTGCTGTGACAACGTTATGGTTGGGATTTAGTGTAAGGATCATGAAAACATGGATCCATCCTGCCTAGTATCAGTAATAATGGTGTAATGGGAAATGACTTTAGTATGAGTTCAGTATATCCATCTTCTGATGGCTCTTTCCAGCAGGAAAACGTACCATGTCACAAAAATCAGATCACCTCATACTGGTTTCTTTAATATGACAATGAATTCACTGTACTCAAGTGACCTCCACAGCCAATATGTCTAAACCCAGTAGAGCACCTTTGGGATGTGCAGCCAACAAAGCTGCAGCAATTGTGTGATGCTATCATGTCAATATGAACCAAAATCTCTCTTTTTTTTATTAAAGCAGTTTATGCCAAATAAGGGTCCAATTAACCAATGCACCTAATGAAGCATCTATTTAGTGTATTCTTTCTAAATATTATTACTGTGCATTTTATTTTCTTTACCATTTTTAAGATATACAACAGATAATATTCAAAAGAACATTTGTACATAATGATGAATACAGTAAAAGGCATCAGTCAACCATCCAGCACTGGAGCAGATGGTTGAGGTATTTAACATGTGCCATCTTTTGGCTCATATTGTCTGTCACTGCCGTGCACCTCTGCCTATTATATCAATGACAATGTCTATCTCTCGTGGAAGAGGTATTCCACATCTGCTGCTCTTCCCAAGGTGACCTCAGTTTTCCCCATTAAAGATCTTTTACAGAGTCTTTCCTTAAGGTCAGCTTACTTAAAGTGAAAAGAAAATGTCTATAAATAATTTGTTTCTGGTCCACATGAATTAATAAACCCACTAAATTTAGCAGCTCAAGAGTTACAACATACAACAATGACATGTGCAGTTATCTTCAGAGATGGCAAAAGTACACACATTTGTTCCTTAAAAAGAAGTCGTTGTGTTTAACTGATTCGGCTCACTTTAACCTCTGACTATAGAGCTGATGCATTAGTTATATGCTTCTCTTTGCCTCTTTCTTATCTTTGTGTGATAAGCACTGGTGATAGATAGACCAACAGGATTAGCGTTTATGTTATATGGTTTCCTCCTTTAGGTTTACATCACTTTTACAGGGTTACGGTTTTGATTGATTGATTGAATCTTTATTTTGAACATGTTGAAAAAGTATAAAAAAAAAAAAAAAAAAAAATAGAATTAAAAGAGACAAATGAACAAAGTACTTGTAAGTAGTACTCTGTTACTTATCTTTTAAAATTAAATAATATTTAGATTGAATGGTTGTGCATATTGGTGTAATGCACAGGGGTTATTTCGCTATTACTTCCTTTTAATATCAATATAAACGGAGGGATTGTTTTTAAGTATTTTGGCTTTTATTTTTGTATTTTATCTTGTGTATTGTGTATGGAAAATAAAAAATCTGTGCAGAGCGATGCACAGTATATCTTGCTTTTCTCTAAATATCCCTGTGCTTCTCTTAAAAGCCAGATGCCTTTTATCAGTCTCACAGAAGATCTGATATAAAACACAGTGCTTTGTATGAGACTAAAACTTGCTCTTTTTGTGTGGCTGTTTATCTACACACTCCCGTATGTGTTTCCATCCTTTCCTTAAAAAGTGTGTGTGTGTGCCATGTGCATTTAGATTTGTGTCACTTTCTACTCTGTGCAGTGCAGCAGAGAGTGATGCATGGTTTTGTGCCTCCTCCTCGGGCTCCGTGTCAAAGTCAGTTTCAAATGAGACGGATGTGACAGAGCAGACTGAAAGAGGGGGGGAAAAAAACAAAACCAGAGAAAGAACATCTCTGCTGGTAATTCAAAAGGCCGTTAGCTAAGAAACACAGCAATAAGAATAGTACCACGTGAAGCAAAAGAACACCTGACGAGTGCCGTGTGTAATTATAGCACGTTTAGGGAGACTAGGACCAGCATCGCTGGGTCGTTGCCCTGGGGTAAAGCTGTGTAGCTGCTGCCAGTTAACTGCAAAGATAGAAACAGGCTTTCTTCATTCAGCAGTGTGCCTGCTGCTGGAGAGGAATCACCAGCTAGTACAGAAGTATAAACTAAAGGCGCTTTAAGTGTCATCTAAGTTTGTAAAAAGTGAGTTTGAGACTTGTTTTTGACTTCCAAACTTCTCGAAAGGGAATTCTGAATTTGTGAATATGTTGCCGCTTCCTTTCCCCCTTTCGGTAGCAGGATGGGAGACGGGGATGGTTAGAGGAGACGCAGTTCTTTGTGGAAAATCCAACTCCTGATACAGAGAGAGTGTTGTGCGGACCATTCATTTCTGCCTTGCAGAAATAACAACTGAGCTGACTTTATTGGATGTTGAAGCAACAGACAAAGAGATACCCCAGGGTCAAACTATAGCAGATATTGCAGGATGAAAAGGAGAGGATGCAAAAGGATGGCGGACAGTGGCAGAAGCATTTTCTGCAAACATATTTATCTGGGGTTTTCTTTTTTTTCTCTTGCAGGAGCGTTACAGATTGAGAACAGCGAGGAAACAGACCAAGGGAAGTACGAGTGTGTGGCCACCAACTCCCAAGGCGTGCGCTACTCTTCTCCCGCCAACTTATACGTGCGAGGTAGGACCTGAAACGCAGAACACACATGCACGTACACGCACGAACAAGACACAGACACCGAAAAATCACTGTGACGAAGGTGCCTTAGGTATTACTAGTAAAACTACCTCTTCTGTATTACTGTGCTCTTTAACAAGTATTACTAACCCATCCATTGTCTACAATATATGTTGATTCTGTTGTTTGGTATTTCTCACAACCACCTTTAACAAGTCCACCTTAAACCTTGGTGCGAGCTCCGACGGTTGAATCAAAGCAAGGATAAAGCGGGACCACACCTTGGTTTAACTGCATGGAAACATCACTGATCTGTCTGCTAAAGTGGTTTCTGTACTAGAGGCAGATTAATTGGTTGAGAGATTTGAACAAAATTGGGAGTGAGAGTCAAGATGTAATTTTGGCTTTACAGTGTTTCACATTAATGGGATCACTGTGGACCCCACATGCTTAAATAAATCTGTGGGTGCTGTTGTAACACTGGCTTATGGCTCAAAGGCCACAACCAATGTCCAGTATTGCAAGTTCTAGTTTCTATTTTACGTGGGATAACAGAGAAGCGTGAATGCAGTTTGACTGGTGCGTGCGTGTGTGTGTGCGCGCGCGTGTGTGTGTGTGCGTGCGTGTGTGTGTGGTGCAGTGAAGCGAGTGGCTTTGCGCTGGCCGTTTTTATTCTCTCTGTGTTTCCCCGTTCTCTCTCTCCCCTCTCACGTCATTGTGTTCTGCATCAACCCCCTTCCATCCCTCAGAGCTTCGAGAAGGTTGGTGCGCTCTTTCTTTTCTTTTGTTACTCCTTTGTTTCAGAAAGCTTCACTTATTGAAACAGAGGGAAACAAAAAAAGACGACAAAAAAAAAGCAAACCACAGTATGAGTTAAAGGACAGCGGAGTAGATTTGAAGTGAAATGATTCAAACCTGTATCCAAAATGATGAGAGTAAAGCTGCTGCGATGATGAAGCGGTCTGCCTACGCAGCAGAGTGCATTGACTGCATTGTGAGGCCTTGTGTGCAGAACCCTTGGTATTGCCTTCACTCCCCGATCAATGTTTTCTGCATGGTATGATCTTGTTGTCATGGAGACCCAAGAATTGGAAGATTAAAAAGAGGCAATGTTTGCATGGAAGGAGTGAGAGAGAAAGAGAAAGGAGCACCGCTTGCATGTGTGTTGACTGACGGACTGACACCAGAGCATGGCACAGTGTGTTATCACGCTTATTGATATGCTCAGATTGTGATCTGATTGAACTTGCTGTCTTGTCATGTCTTGCTACTGTTTTTTTGTGTGTGTATGTTTTTTTTTTAATTCTTTTCCCCTTTGTACCATCTTGTTTGGCGGCTTGTCTTTGTTCCCATGTCATCACATCTGCTCCAGTGCTGCACTTGTTGAGTGGAAGTCTTGCACTTGCTTGTGTATGCCCCCTTGTTCTGCAGTTTTACGTTCGGTTTGTCAGACGAGAATCACTCACTGGTATAAATTCATGACGCAAACTCAAAATGGCAAGAGGACGGGTCACGTGACTGATGATGGACACTAGTGTTGAAACTAACATTAACGTTGGCTAAATTATCCGGAACCACTGCACTACAGTTCAGAATACACGTGTTACGATGGAGCATCATAGACTGTACATAAAAGATGGATTGTGAGCAATAATTTTTTGTTTGCTTTCTTTTTTTTCCTTTGGAGCCAGAAGTTACCATGTTTAGATGAAAAGGTGGATGCGCATTAGCAAGACCGATTAGCAAGATGCATCCACCGAGATGCATCTCATTAGGATACTGTGTTAACCATTCAGAAAGCCATTTTATTTGTCAGACAATTGCATTAATATCATGTCCATAAGCCATAACATTAGAGACACTTCAAGACAGCTAGCCGCAGAGCCTCCTCTGCTGGCACACACGTCTGTCTGCCCCACTCCTAATAATAACACCCAGCATTGCTGCTTGTGTTACATACTCAAGCATAATATGAAAAATAGGATGCCTTGCTTTAGACATTATAGAATACTTAAATTAGCTACACCTCAACCAAGTTCATTTGATTTGTATTTTCCACAGCTATGAGACAAAAGACATAAGGTTTACAAGGTTACAGGTTTTGTTTATTTGTTTATTTTTTCCCCTTTTCCACCTGTGTGCTTTAAATATTCATACTAATGCTGCACATTTTCTACAGGTAGCCTCTGAAGGTTTATTATACAGTAATAAGTAAAATAAGCTCTCTTTAATGGACTGTTATACAGTCTAGGCCATGTCTTACCTTGCTTGACTCCCCACCAAACACTGTGATACGTCTTTGTTGACTGACATTTGAAATTAATTATATCCATTCTCAATCTTAGATATTGAGAGGGGTATTAATGATTCTCTCTTATTACAGTGGTTAATGAAAGCTGTGTCCTTGAGACAGACAAGATGGTGCTGAGTAAATGTCAGCTATATAGCGATGCTGAGATTCAGCGGTAATCCTTATGGCTGTGCCAAGGTCTCCCCAGCCCGTAGCCTCCAGACTCCCTGCAGAGAACAGGACTAATGATAGCTCCACTAATAAAGAGCGAAGCTCCTGGCTCGTACAAACTGTATAGAAAATGGTGGGGAATCATGCGTCCTGGCTCGATTAACTTTAAGCTAGAGGCTCTGTGAGCACAAAAAGGATTATCCCTTGTTATGAGCTCACTTTATTGTAAAGTACTCACCTTTGGCTCCCCAGTGGATTCTTCAGTCGTCGTCTGTGTTCACGACCGGTATTTTTAGAACTACTCCACCGCTTGATGTAGGAGATTACCGAACAGTCATCTTGAGTCTTTACTTTCATCCTTAAACTTAAAGCATTATCAAATTAGCCCACATGCTTACATTGACATCTTTTATTTATTCTTGCTGTGTTGACAGATACATGCCCGTGTGGCTTAAACTGACGTTTTGGTCCTGCTGCATTGCACCTGCTTTGTCTTGTGCATGGAGCTGTCATGGATGCAGTCTGTGTGCGTGTCTCTCCAGCATGCTCAGATGAGGAGATGCCTGCCCAATCATGTCTGTTTTCTAACAGATCTACCTGTTTTTGTCTCTTTGTCTCTTTCTTGTCTTTAACTTCTGTATCCAATTCTGGGTATATTTTTAAGTTTGATTTTTTTTTATTGCTTTGGTTTGTTTTTCCAAGTTGCTTTGAACTTTGTTATTCGTGAAATGACCACAACTATTTACTTTTTTTTTAAATTTCTTGAAATCATGCAAAAATGTTAACTTCTATCCAATTGTCTCTAGATGCTTTGAGTAGGGGGGATGTGGCCCACGAAGATTCCCAGTAATGATGTCACTCATTAAGGAGTGGAGGTTATGCAGCAAATTTATCAATATTTATGTATTCATTCAAGTATTTAATTTGACATTTTCTTTCATATAGCGTTAGATTTATTGCTGGATTTGCAAGTAATTGAGAAAAAAAAGACTAGACTCTTATTGTTTTGCTACTGTAGGGATATCTTCTTTTATTCGTAATCTTTTTTAAACTGTCTATTTTTAGGGCTTGTGTTGTTTATCGCACATATAAGCTTTCTAGTTTTGAGTTTAGTTTCAACAATGTTTCTGCTCTTTGTCTGCCTTCCCTTTCATTCTCTCCTTTCATCCAGAGATGTTTGTCCGTTACTCTTTTTGTCTCTTTCTGTTTCCTGTGTTTTTGACCCACGGGTATCCTCTTCTTCTCTGTTCTTTCAACATCCGTTCTCTTCAAGTCCTTTTCTCTCTGTCTCTCTCTCTTTCTCTCTCTCTCCCTCTTCTCTTACTTTTGAAGCACCTTCTTTCTGAATGGGCCTGACTCTGGTATACAGCCGTGTTTTAAAATAGATCCATGTGTTTTCTTCTTCCTCGCTCCTCTTTTCTTCCCCCTTTTCCCTCCTTCCCCACGAACCCTCTTCTAATCCTCTCTCCCCTGTCTTTTCCCCTCCTTTCCCATCCCCTCCTTTTTTCTCTTCTCCTTCTTCTCCTTCTGCATTCTGTCTGCACCCTGATGTGTAGGAGCGACAGACACATGTACATAAGTTTATTAACTTATAAACATGCACATACTACCTCACATATCTCTCTTTTTGCTCGCACTCGTTCTTTCCCGTTCTGCCTCGTTCTCTCATGCTGTCTTGGTGTTCTTTACTTAAATGTGTCCGATGATCACTTTGTAAATGCCACAACACCTTTTTAGAACCCTTGATCCACTCCTGTCCACATTTCCTATTCATTTGACTACACACTGTATCAGTTTTGAATCCTATGTATTGTACAGTATGTTGTTGTACAATGTGGCTGTCCTTTGCTACATTGCGTTTCATTGTCTGGAAGAGAAGCAGAGCTGCCTCTCTCTCTCTCTCTCTCTCTCTCTCTCTCTCTCCCTCCCTCTCGCTCTTTTTCTTTGTCTCTCTGTCTTTTTCTTTTCTGTCCTTCGATCTGTCCCTCCCGTGTCTCTGCTCTTATCTTGCTTCTCTCTGTCCCCCCTCTCAGTCCACAGTTCTTCGTTCTCTTCTTTGTGTTTCTCCACCATTTTATCCCTCTTGAGTCGCCCAGGCATGCAAGTGACCTATGAGTTCAGTCTCTCGATGCATCTCTCCCCTAATGTGTAGTCAACCGAGCTCTGACAGATGCAGTATTGGATATAACTTGCCACTTTGCTTGTTCTTCTCATGGGGACACAAATAGCAGGCAGGGCCTATTGATTGGCCCCCATGATGCATATACTCTCTAAAAGGAGCCCATCTACCGCACAGGCACCTCAAGGCACGGCAATCTGAATGAAGAAAAGTTTTTTCCCTCATAAGTTACTGCTAAAGTTTAGCCTGCTTAGTCACTGCTTCGAGGTGTTTTATTAATAATTCTGCATAAATCTGCTTCCTGCATAAATTGATAACCCGTAAAAAAAAAAAAAAACCCGCTGTTGTCGTTTTTTGGGTTTTGGTTTTTTACGAAAGAGAAACTGACTATAGGTGTCATGTCCTGGATGAAATGATACTCAAGAGTTTGTCACTTTATTATTTTGAGAAGGCAGCTCACTCTGAGTGGTTGAGCTCAGCACAAGATTTGTGTCTTTTTGTTGGATTCATCAGTGCCATAAAGTAATTGGGACTAAACTTGAAATATCCCTATGTAATTTTCTGTAAAAACCCTGAAGTTCATTCTCCCCCTTCCTGTTACCTCTCCTCTCCTTCTCTCTCTCTTTCTTTTTTATCTTTCTCGCCCTCTCTCTCTCTTTCTCTCTCTCAATCTCTATCTCGCTCTCTGCCTCGCTCTTTTTCTTCTCATTCTCTCCCCCCTTTACTCCCTTGCCCCCTCCTCCTTCTTTCTCTCCACCTTTCTCCTTCTCACTCCCTTCCCCACTTTTCTCCTTCCCCTTCCTTAACCCCTCTCCCCCACCCCCGTCCCACTTCCTTTCTCCCCTCCCGACTCTCCTCCTTTCCCAGTGCGCCGCGTGCCCCCTCGTTTCTCCATCCTCCCTTCCAACCACGAGATCATGCCAGGAGGGAGCATCAACATCACCTGCGTGGCTGTGGGTTCACCCATGCCTTATGTCAAGTGGATGCTGGGTAACGAGGACCTGACTCCCGAGGATGAAATGCCGATTGGACGGAACGTGCTGGAGCTCAATAGTGTCCGCGAGTCTGCAAACTACACCTGTGTGGCAATGAGTAGCCTGGGTATCATTGAGGCCAGCGCTCAGGTCTTAGTGAAGAGTAAGGGCCCCGGCAACCTTTAGATGCCTAAGAATGTTTTTAATTTTAGCCTGAGAAAGTAGAAAAGTTCAGCTGTCTTCTCATATGTACTCAGCAGGGTTCTGGCATCCCTTGTAGGTGAAAGTGTAGCAATTTAAATAGTATAACGTAGCATCCTTAATTTATTAATCAGTGTATTTCAGGTTAAATGTTACTGTCACTGGACACTGCAAGTACCACTAAAGAAATGCAGTTTAGCAGGTTGAATCTAAATGTAATATATGTTAAACAAAGCAACATTTATACTGTAAAAGAATCAAGTATTTCCACTAAATATAAAATGTAATTTCAACACTGAGACCAAGAGAGTATTTTTCTTTTTTCAAACGTTTAAATCACCTGCTGCCACTCTAATCCCCAGCTTTACCAAAGCCTCCCGGCACGCCCATTGTCACCGAGACCACAGCCACCAGTGTGACCATCACATGGGACTCTGGCAACCCCGACCCCGTCTCCTACTACATCATTCAGTACCGAGCCAAAGGGCCCGACAGCAAGTATGAGACAGTGGACAGCATCACCACCACCCGCTACAGCATCGGGGGGCTCTACCCCAACACAGAGTACGAAATCAGAGTTTCAGCCTATAATACCATCGGCCAGGGGCCCCCGTCCGCTCGCGTGGAGGCTCGTACGGGAGAGCAAGCCCCCGCCAGCCCGCCGCGAAACGTCCAAGCTCACATTATCTCTGAGAACACTGTGATGGTCCGCTGGGAAGAACCGGAAGAGCCCAATGGACAGGTGAGATGAGGATTGGAACAGCCCTGTTTGATCTGTTATCAGTAGAGGAAAACACACATTTTTACATTTCCTTTTATCTGCTGGCATGCTTCTCCAGCTGTCAACCTGAAAAATGTTCTCAAAAGGGTGGTGAATGCCTGCACCGAGACCTCAGATACCCAGCAGAAAAAGTCCTTCATTTTTGTGCTTTGTGTTCTGTAACAGAGAGGACGGACCGATGGACAGACAGAGAGATAGATAGATAGATAGATAGATAGATAGATAGATAGATAGATAGATAGATAGATAGATAGATAGATAGATAGATAGATAGATAGATAGATAGATAGATAGATAGATGTCTCCCTGTGCTCTTCTCTCTAAAGAAGGAAAGGGTAATTGGACAGTCCTCTCTAAGTACAGAGCGCTCCCTCCAGAGGCCTGTTTCCTTTTTCAAGCCTACCAACCTGCACCGTAGGTCCATAAAAGTACAAGACTGAAACTGAGTGCATATGAGGATTATGGATATTAAAGAGTAATAACAGGAGAGCTATACTTTGTACTACCCATAAACTAATCCCACAGACGAGGAATATCGTGATCACATTTTAAATGCTACAATCTGATGGCATCCACAGTATTATTTATTTATTTTATTGAAGCTTTATCAGGACGAAATGTAAAACTGCACCTTATGACAGTGACCTCTAGGAAACAGTAATCTGTTGGACCTGAAGTCAAACAATAATTCAGACACAATGACCTTGGCTGCCGTAAATTCTTGTTGTGTTAAAAGATGGCATTATGGATTACCCCGGTTGTAGGACAGTGGGATTAGGTGAAAGTCACGTAATGCATCCCAGTCCCTGATGACCTTAAAATCCAGTCCCAATCAAAACAAACTTGTCCGCACGATTCACTGGGTGGCTTTCCTTTTGCTATGTTTTGTAGGTGAAAGGCTATCGTGTGTACTACACCATGGATCCGTCCCGGCCTATAAACGAGTGGCAGATTCATAACGTCCAGGATAGTGTGCTCACTACCATTCAGAACCTGGTAACCTCAGAGACCTACACCATCCAGGTCCTCGCCTTCACCTCCGTTGGGGACGGACCCTTCTCAGACCCCGTCCACGTTAAAGTCTTGCGTGGAGGTTAGTGCGCGACCGTGCATCGACATAATCATCGGTAGACGTTCGTGAAAGAGAATAAATTTAGCCCGCATGCTAGTGCATTGATAACGGCTAAGTAGCCATTTGCATTTACTTATGTGTGGATGAGTAATGGTTATTTTTTCAGACGAGCATGTGCAGCAGAGCACAAATGAGTAAGTACTCGTGATTATGTGCAAGTATACAAACCGCTCAGGAGCTTATTCGAGGAGCTTATGTAAAGTTTGAGTAGCAAGCCACTGTGAAAGTTTGACCTGTCAGAACATATGACTTCTTCAAAGTGAATAAATTCTACCAGCCGGGACCGAAGTGTGGAGATTTATGTGAAGGAAACAGGGATTAACAGCGAGAAATATCCCTCATGCCCCGGTGCTGATTGTGTCACCGTGACAGCTCCTGAGAAGCTGCTAGGTTTATATGATGGGAGGTGAAAAGAGATGACAAAATAAAAAAAACTGCGACGGTATTGCTGGTTAAATTTCTGTGGCACTTTTACTTCTGCTCCACTTTTAGTCTCTAACAGTTTCTGACACATAAAGAAATGAAAGTATATGTAAGAATCCGATTTATGATTAGATGTTTAAGGGTTAGTACTTAAATGATTAGTAATTAGGTTGGGTTTAAGTACATTTTTTAAAACCATGGTCTAAATTGAAGTCTTTCTAGCACAATTACCAATAATAATGATGAATACATTATCAAAAAAATATTCATTGCATTTGAATGACTCAATGAAACAGAGTTATACATATAATAAATAATCTTTATGAATAGTGCAAAGCCAAGTATTAGCACTGCTGTAAGCCAAGGTCTTATTTGAGTGTGTTTTGTCCTGTTCCCTGCAGTCCCTGGCCAGCCAAGCAAGTTTAAAGTGGGTAAAGTGACAGACACGAGCATAGAGCTGACCTGGGAGCCTGTCCACAACAAAGAGAAAATCGTCAACTATGAGCTCCTCTACAAACCTGTCAAGTTTGGCAGCTTGGTAAGACCTCTTAGTCTGTTTTTTTTAATAAATCCACCTGCTGAGTGGATTTCTTATCAAGACAAAGGCTTGAAAGGGAGATAAAAGAAGATTTTTTAAAAGATTAACCCCAAAGTCCTGCACCCTTGTGTCTAGTGGTCGCACTCTCGGTCAACTTCTCTTCTCCAGCTCTTCTCTAATGTCTCTCTTTTTACTCTTCTCATCTCCCCCCCTCCCTCATCGTCGCACCTCTCTGCTCCCCTCTCTTCTCTCTCACAGGAGAAGCTGACCTTCGGGCCCAGGAATTCTTACACTGTGGAGGGTCTCAAAGCGAACACCGAGTACTCCTTCTCCCTGGCTGCCATCTCAAGCAAAGGCATCGGCGCTTTCACTAACGAACTGGTGCAGAGGACATCACAAGCCAGTACGTCTCGACTGAGCCGGATTCACAGTGTTCCTGCACACACCAACGCATATCCCACAAATTCAAATTCTATTGTGTTTATTTATTTATTTAATGTATTGTGCCGCGAATATCTTGGAAACATTTTGTCCTCCAAACGCTCTCACACACAGCTCGTAGCGGTACATTTCCCTCAGCTCCCGGCCTGGTAAAACCTGGAAGCCGTCTCTGCATCTCTCCATGTGTCTCGTTTATCAACCCATACGTCCAGCCCACCCCCTCCTCCAACCCATCCATCTCTGTTTGACCGTGCCTTTCTTCCACCCCTCAGCCTCTCTCTTTCTCGCACAGCCAAAACATCATGACAGATGGAGATGGAGCACCGATTAATGTTTCACTCTTCCTTTCCTTTGCCCTCTTTTCACTCTTTCCACTCTATCAGTGTCTAATGTCTTTGAAAGGGTGCAACTGTCTGCCACTTATTGGCTAGCAGCCAGTGGTCAGGAGCATTAAAGGATGGCGGGTAGCCTGCTTTGTTGACAGGTAAGTGCTGGCCAGTCTGTATTTTACCCACGCTGAGCTTAGATTCTCTCCCTTGTCTCCTTTTCTCTGATTTCTTTGGGTTTTTTTCTATTTTTGTGCAATCACTCTTAGCCAATAAGAGTTAAATGAGTTCCACCATTTTGTTCTGACACCAAGTTATTTCATATCTGCTCTCAAGAAAGGATAACAGAAAAATGGTACAAGGAAAAGAATTTATAAAGTCGATATGAAAAGCCCCGCAGTTCACCGCGCTGTTTTCCTTTAAGTGGTAAGTACTTGCAGTCACCCATCAGACTGCGTTTAGTGGGGTTCTCTTCTCTCTTTACTCCCAAACGGAAAGAGTAACCAAGGTTGTGTACCAGAGGATGTTGGGGGGGGGGTGATATTTGGAAAAAGGGAAGGTGCTAGATAAGCAGACTATTTCATGCAGCAGAATTCATTTCCCAGGGAGGTTATGTGCGCTTTCTTATCGCCAAGCTTTGGTGCACATCTAGATTGTCCCCCGAGGCCAACAGAACAGTGGCTGTATGGCTGAGTGGATAGATACTTGAACCTGTCAGCCATGACTATTACACTCCCACACACACACGCACAAGCCTGGACCTCGGACATGCCCGCCTTTGTTTGTGTGTGTGTGTCTTACTTAAATGACATTATATTGGTTGAGCTATATCTGTGATTCGTAAATCTGTGGTGTCTTTTCGTGATTTCTGTTTCTGCACTCATGTCTGTGACAGTAAATATCCAAGCCTCTGTCTGATTCAGTGTCTGCAATTCATCATTCTAGCTTGACTTTCAATTTCCCGTCTTAGCTCCTTTTTTCCCCTCCGGGATCTCAGATTTTGTTTTGTGTTTTTTTTTTCTTTTGTTTTTTTCTCCTTTACCTGCCTCCTAAATCCTTTCAGCACCGTATGAGATCTGGTTTAGTGGGTTTTTTGTTTTTTTTAATCTCCTGCTGCGATGTGTAAGACCTTTCTCTAGTCAGCCACAGTGAAAAATCTCACACCACCCTACCGTCTTGAGGACTCGAGGATTAGCCGGCTGGTCATGTGAAATGTATACATGTGTCTGTGCTGTCGTGCAGCTAGCTGTGCATCCCCATTTTTTTGAAAGAGAACAGACATTTATCTGTTTTTCATTCATAAATCTCGAGCCTTTTTTGGCACTACCTATAGCCAGGGGATAAGATATAATCATTGACTGCTGGATGCACATTCTCCTTGGGTATAATTAAGTTGTCCACTTAGGGTCGATACTCTTGTCTCTGGTTTATTTCATTAGGCTCTCAGGCTAACATTATGCTTTTACATTATGTGGTTGCTCCCCCTTTTTTTGCCCAATTCAGGTTTGTCCCAGTGTTATCTCTTTCAGTTCAGTTTACCTTAGTTTCTCATTGTTTCCTTTTTTATCCTTATCTCCTGTCCTTTTGCTTGTATTTTCCCTTCTCCCGGGTCATCTCTCCTAAACTCTTTGCCAATTGCCCTGCTTGCCCTTTGTCCAATCAGAGCCCTCAGCCGCACCAGAGGGTGTGTCCTGCGAGAGTGCCAGCTCCACCTCGCTGAGAGTAAGTTGGGGGCCTCCTCCAATGGAGGGCCAGAATGGCGAGTTGGCAGGTTATGAGCTGAGATACCAGAAAGTTTCTGGGGCAGGAGGTGGAGGTCTGGGTCCGGAGGTGAAAGACCTTCCTATCCCGGCCCAGCAGGGGCAGACAGTGGTAGAGGGGCTGGAGAAATGGAGTTGGTACAACATCACTATTGCAGCCTCCACCGCAGAGGGGACTGGACCCAGCAGCCCTGCTGTGCTCTGCAGAACAGACGAGGACGGTGAGCGTGAGAGCCGCAGATCAGACCTAAACGTTATTGACTGCTAAGTTGATTATTTACTGGCTAGAACTTTGGTCACTTAATTAATTCCACACGTGTGCTCAGTTCCCGGCGCAGCCCCTCGTCAGGTGGATGTCCAGCCGCTGAACTCCTCGGCTCTCCGAGTCACGTGGCGCCCAGTGTTGCCACGGTTACGGCAAGGCCAGATCCGTGGCTACCAGGTGCATTTCAGCCAGGCAGAGAGCGGTGAATCACGCAACCTTCCCCGGATCAAAGACCTCTTATTGGACGAGTCTCAGGTGACAGCATAGCTAAATATATAAATGATTAAATGGTGTTCATTTGTTATATTCATCCTCCCTTTCTCCTCCGCTCCTTTGACTCACTCCTTCTCTCATCCGTCTCGGCTGCCTGTGGGGTGTGTCTCGTCTGTGGGATAAGATGGAGGAGGATGACGCGACTCAATATGTGAGTGCAGACTACCCGTCCTCTTCTCATTATAAATGAACCAATTATTAATGCATACAGCACTATGCTGCTAATAGACCACAGATTTAATTATCAACTCTTATGTAAGTTTTCTTCTTTTCTTTTTTTTTTTGCTGATGCACAGTTCTTCCCCAAAAAAGGGGAATAAATCAATAAATAGTGTCTTTTTTTCTAAGATTGAAAGGAGTGAGTTTGCAGTATTTGATGGTGGTATTTTGTGTTTTCTCCCGCAGGAGCTGATTTTAGGAGATCTGAAAGCAGAGACTTTGTACTCTGTCTCTGTGGCAGCATACACCACCAAAGGGGATGGAGCACACAGCAAAGCCAAGCTGGTGCAGACCCCGGGGATTGGTAAGCATATGTCAAGTATACATTTCAGTGCCCCAGATTTAGTAGCATACTCAAGAATTGATCGTACAGTAAGCTGCGCCAGGAGATGGCAATAAATAAGCCGACAATCAATTCTAATTCTTCTGTATTTGCGTGATATATGTTTATCTCTATTCATTTTCTTTTTTTCTGCTGCCTACGCTGTTGTCTGCAGTGCCTGGTCCCCCCTCCCTTTGGGTGCGTCTGGGATCGAGCCCGTCAGTTGTGGTGCGGTGGGCTCCTCCGCTGGAATGCTCTGATAGCCGGGGGGCCCCGGTGGAAATCCAGGGCTACCGCCTACAGTTTGGCCTGAAGAATAGCTCTTTAGACACCACGGTGGATTTCACAAATCGTGTGAGAAACTTCACTGCGAGAGACCTCTCCCCAGGCTCCTCCTACATCTTTGTGCTCGCCGCAAAGAGCCGAGCAGGCTATGGAGATGTAGTCCAGCAGGAAATAACAGTCCCTATTTTTCCTCCCGTGGGATACCCCAAAATATCTGACTTTGTTAATGTCACTTGCTGCTCCCTGCAGTTGTCCTGGCTGCCCCCAACCCCAGAGGAGAGCAACGGTGTGATTACAGAGTACACTCTAGCCTACAAAGAGGCTGCACACACCCAACCCTCTGCTGACCCTGGCCCCTCCGCTTTTCCAACCCCCTTTGCTCGTCCACGGCTGATAGCGCTACCAGCAAGTGAGTCGAGCTACACCATCCTGGGCCTCAATCACAGCAAAGCTTACGAGGTGCAGCTCAGAGCCCACAACAAGGCAGGGCCGGGCCCCTTCAGCCCACTACTGGTGCGCCTCACCCTGTCCTTGGAAACAGGTAGGGCTGGCCTCCGGCCTCAGGAACACCTTTCTAAGTGCTGGTTCAACTTCACATCTCCCCTTACTGTGGATTTCACTCCAAAAACACTAAACTTAATGAAGTCTGGGCCAGTTCTTACAGGTCTGCCTCTCACCAGTGCACCTCAGAGAGGATGAGAACTGCAAAGTGCGGGACACAACTACTCTCCCCAATCTCCTCCACTCACTCACTTATACCTTCATCACCTACCCTTCACCACCAATGGAAGCAGGCTGAATGTTAATGGATGTTTGCTTCAAGAGCACTGCTTATCACAAACCCTCAGGTAAAAGTCAATACAGGGCTCGGATATACAGTATCTAATAGCGAAGGTAAGTGTTCGGTCTGATTTGAAGCGAAAACCGGCGTCTGGCGCTGTATCTGCAGGTAAGCTTTTTTTATCTGATAGACCTTCACTACCACCTTTTCCAAAGGCTTTGCTGAAGTCTGAGTCTAACAAACACAACCTTACACTCTAACAACGTGGCATGTCACATTTCTGCAGCCAGTCTGTCTCTTACTTGTACTTATTACTCTTGCCATCCACTTTCCTCATCACCTGCCTATCCTCCTAACCATCATGTCTTTCCCCCTCCTCATCAACTGACCGGGCTGTTCTCCATTTTTACAGGTCGAGAAAAGCAGAGGACGCCGCGATTTTAATAAAACGCTTCATCACGAGTGACTCTCTGCCTGTTTGTTTCTTCACTTCCCAGATGTGCCGAGGAATTTTTCGGTCAATCTGGCCACTGAGACCAGCGTTCTTCTTACCTGGGAGTTTCCAGAGACTAGCAACCCCTATCGCTTTACTGTATGTTGAATGGCACGTGCAGTGCCTCATTGTGTTACGTAAAACTCTAATGTTTTAACATCTGTGGGATCCTTAAGATTATAATACTCAGCTTTATTTGGGTCAAGTTTTTGGAAATTATAGAGTGCATTTTAAATAGCAAGAGTTAATTACAGATCAGCACATTGTAGGACAAACAACATCTCAGACATGCAGAAAAAATGTATGACAGGAAAGAGGATAGAAACTATTTAAATAAAGCGTGAAATACTGAGTAACACAGATCTAATAAAAATGTATAAAATTAATATATAAAAAGAACACAAATAAAAAGCAAAACAGGCAATATTTTTTTAAATCCAAGATTGATCAAATAAAAAATGTGAAATTTAAAAACACTTATGAGCTGCTGACTCATTTTTAAAATATTTTTAGCATGCATGACCCCGACACAATAATACACCCACAGATCTACCCACAGGCATTCATGTGGAATTTCTCTGGACTATGAGAAGTTCAATTAAACTGAGCATTTACTGAATATAGCAAAATCCATCTACCAGCACTTTAAAGTGCACTTATTATCTCATTTATTGAATCCAGAAAAGAGGTTTACTGGGATTATATCCCTTGCTAATAACTGACTAGGTTTACTAACTCCTAGTTTACACTGGTCCTGGCTAAGAATAGTTTAGCACACATTCCTCCAATAAAACGTCAGAAAGGGCATCTGGTATAAAAAAAAAAAAACCTAAACTAAATCTGCCGAAGTGAATGTGCAGAGCCCCCCGCTGTGATGACCCCTTGGGAGCAGCTGAACGGAATTTTAGTTCAAACTCTCAAACAAACCCATCAAAAAACTTTATTCAGGGCATTTTACAAATGTTCCTTAATTTAGTTCTATAGCATTAAATGACTATTTAAACAGTACACAACATAAAGATTAGCTTCACCAACTCTTTCCCACCCTTCAGGTTGAATATAACCGTCAGAAAATGGAGGTGGACGCTCGCTTGAGAAAGGCAGTCATCCCAAACCTTCAGCCTAACACGAGCTACGACTTTAAAATCACTGCTCCTGAGGGGAACCCTGGAGGCCTTCGCCATCGCATCTCTGCTAAGACATCCCCAACGATCACCATCCGCCGCCCTGAGATCGACCGCACTCGTGACTCCGAGACCACCGTGACGCTTATCTTGCCATCACTGGAGAATCGCAGTCCCATCAAGTAAGGCTGAAAGACTGAGCCTTAGATGCTCTTACAGGCCTTGAAAACGTTGTCATGTCATATAGGGGTGACAGTCATCTGACTTGCTGTGTTCAAGTCTGGTGATTACAGTCACGGTAACAGTATGGGGCACTGATGATAACAGTACATGACTGCTCTAAAGTGAAAATAGTTACAGACAGTTTGCTATTGTGCAACTGCAGCTGTTGTTATGTTGTTTGTCCTCTTGCACTCCTACAGGAATATTTATGTTGTTGTGGTTCCGCTGCGAAGGCCCCGCGGCGTCATCAGACACCTCAAGAGTCCAGACGAAATGGACCTAGAGGAGGTGAGAACCACAACAATAACAGCACCCACTGATGTCTGAGCCTGCGAGGAGGAAAAGACCTATAAACACACACAATCCTATCTCTGAGAACTCCTGGCAACGCTTACCCTTTTTAATTCAATATCAGTCTTTAAACATTAGTCACAGTTATTGGAGCGGCTTATTTTGCTTGTCTGTGTCTTTTCTCTCTTTCTCTTTCTTTCTTTTAGCTGTTAAAAGACATCAGTCAAAGGCAGAAGGATACTCGACAGCAGAAGCAGGTGGACTTGCGCCGGGCTTACATCACAGCCCGTTTCACACCTGCCATCCTGCCGGCTTTCTTCACCCTGGGGGACCAGCTGGACTATGGCGGCTTTGAGAACCGAGCTCTAGAGCCAGGGCAGGAGTACGTCTTCTTCATTCTGGCTGAGCTGAACTCCACATCCGGGGTATGAAAGACACTACTTTACATGTCTTTTCCCTGTTTGTTTTTTTTTAAACTGCTCCCACATTCCAGGCTGTCCGCGTTTCTCTCCTGCAGGCTGTCACTATACATTGTAATCAATACGGCCGAGCTGCTAAAACAATAAAATGCCCATCAGTCAAAGTGTTGTAAGCAAAAGGCAATAACCCTCACATACTTCCATCACCACTGCTAATAAAGAGTGAGTGTACCCGCTGTGGCAGTGGAAGAAATATTGCCTCATGCACCCCTGCTATGTATGTGCATTCAAACTGGAATAGACATAAATATACAACTTAAAATTAGACTAGGGTCTTTATATTAGATTTTTTTCATTATTGGATCCCTTCTAGCTCAGGGGATGCTCTTCCAAACTTCTGCAGAACTAATAAAAAGCAACAGTTCGAGCAACAGTAAGGTTAGGTACATTTTTTTGAGCTACTGTCTAAAATGCTGAGGAAAAATAAAGGCACAAATGCCTGCACATTATATGACTGATCACAATTATACGGACATGTTTTCAGTCTAATGCAATCCACTGCAACAGCTCAGCAATAATGCAAACACTGACCCTGTTTTACTTTTGCAAAAAAAAATGAAAAACCTGAGGGAGAAAACAAACGATTCGACAATTTTGTGATCATCTTCTTCTGTGGTGTTTTTTCGTTTACGTTTTTTTTTACAGAAGATGTACGTGGCCAGCCCGTACACAGACCGCGTGATTGCCCCGGACTCAGACCCGCAGCCATTCGATGCAGGTGACGGTCTGATCTGGGTGGTTGGACCAGTCCTGGCTGTAGTCTTCATCATCTGCATCGTTATCGCCATCCTCCTGTACAAAAAGTGAGTGGGATGGACTTCATAAAAATAAAATGTCAAATTTTCCAACCATGACGCTAACTCACACTCTTGGTCACACTGGGTAAATGCCACAGCAGCTTTGATTATGACTCTTCAAGGATAAGACTGACTTTAGTCAAAACTTTTCACAATGACATCAAACTCCATGAAATGCGCAGAAATCTTTTCATGTGTTTCAGCCTCGCTGTTTGTGAATATTCATTCTAACTGAATATGTCAATCTTTGAAGATGTCCCACACATATAATACATTATATATTTAGTAGGGGTGCAACGATACACAAAATTCACGGTTCGGTTCGATACTTTGGTGTCACGGTTCGATATTTTCTCGATACAAAATAAAATGTTCATGCCTTTTTAATTTGTCATTTATTAAAATTATAAATATCTATTTTAACTCAAAAGTAAGTTTTTAAATTTAACCCTAACCCTTGTGCGTGTTTTTTATTTTGACAGCGAATGCGCACCTGTGGACCACTTATGTGCAGCCCTGGTTATTTAGCTCGTCATATTGCAGCCACAGAAATTATTTTGTCCATGAAACCATAAAGCTGCACTTTCTTTTTGCCTTATAGTCTGATTTGTCATAACTTCTCCGTTTTGTGGTAAGCTTTTCTTTGGCTGTCACTTCTTCACCCTGACCTGTCTTATTTGGCTCAGCAGAATTAAAATATAAATCCTGCTGCTTTTACACACGCACTCACATAAGCTCAGCGATTCTCTGCACGATCAACCTCTCACATGTTTAAGCTTGCTGCGGGAGATTTCACTTGTCATGTTTGCATAGTAAGCTAACGATTAATAAGACGATGTCAGAGGAATTGGTGCGCAAATTATCATCACTCACCAATCAGTACTGTCGCTCTCTATACACAGTTCACGCGATTGCAAAGTGAAAGCAAAAAACAAGCGCAAATTCAAACGCGATTTCAATATGTCACATATTGACAGTGGCTCACCGATGCCAATGACATAATTACCCAGCTACATTTCTGAAAGAATGCAAAAGCATTGACATATATTTTTCCTTCCTATGATAGGCCGACGGGCAGGGCAGAGATAGATTTTGGTAGCCCGACTGGAAAAATCTCTAGCCCCAGGACGTCAGGCTAGCGATTTTGCGAGCCCTGTATCTGATTGAGGAATCACTCATCTTTGGAAAAGAGAGTTTATTACAGAGAAATGGCTCTTTCCAAAATAAAAGCTATACTATACGCTTCTTCTGGGCTATATTCTCAGCAGCATAAGGAGAATCATGTGCTAACAGCTGTCTAAATGACTCGGCTAAAGTTAGTAGCATGCATGCTTGTTGTTTTTGTCTTTGCACTAGGATGATGTCGGCGTAAATGTGCAGTCATATTCGTTGTGTTCCCACTAGTGCTTTCAGGTTAACCTCGTTAAAATGACCTTAACGCCACAACACGGCAAATCTCCGTTAACGAGCTACCCCTGATAGCCCGTGCATGGGGCTAGACAGCCAACACTTAACGAGCTAACTGCGCTAACACACTAGTTCACACCAATGTAATTGAGCATTGCATGGCACATCCAACATACTGTTTTACTTTAGTCCATGACTCGCTTACCTTCAGGGTCATACGTCACATGAAAACCAAAATAATTCCAAACGCCAGATCTGAATGAGGGGGGGAGGTTCAATTTGCCATGTTGCAAGGAGAGCTTAACTTCTGTCTCGCTAGCTTGCCCTGCGCTCTTCCTTCTGACTATGCTGTCTGTGTGGAGCGCTCAGTGGATCTGCGCTCGACAGTGCAGCCTAGGCGGAGTAGTCGAACACAGATTCACTGAGCGCTCCACACAGACAGCATCGTCAGAAGGAAAGTTGATAAAATAAATTACAAATGTTGTATTGTTCGATACATATGCGTACCGAACCGAAAGCACTGTATCGAACGGTTCAATATCGATACGAATATCATTGCACCCCTAATATTTAGGGACTGTATTTTTTGGCAAACAAATATGTGTCAGCGACTATTTACAGCAACTAGAGTAAAATACATTTGTGGTTGCTAGTGAGTATTTACAGCAGCGCGATTATGCGTCAAAACTCGAGTCAAGATAAACGACGGTGCCATTACTTATCATCCATGTTCCAGCTGCGCCCGTGTGGCTCACTGATGGGTTTTAGACAGTGCAGCAACATTAAGCATACACACTCAGGTACTATGCTTATATCCTTGTTGCACCTCCTGCTGTTATACTCTTCCACGACAGCTCAACATTCACCAAATTCTCTATGAATTTGGAAATTTTGTTCATTCCTCAGACAGCCATCAAGCAGTCTGACCCTGCTGTAAGCCTGTGATATCTGCTGCAAGCCTTCAAGCATTTGAATGCTAATGCAAAATATTGATTTTCCTCTCTAACAATCTGTCCATTTCCTTCCCTTTCTTCCTCTAATTATTCCTGCCCATGCTCCCATTTCACTGGAAGCAGCAAACCTGACAGGTAAGATTAAACCAATGTCAAGCTCTTTGTACATTTTAACCCACAGTAATTACAAGATACCAGATGCTGTACAAAGAACTTGTACAAGGACTTAAACACTGTATCTGTTAATGCTGTGTTTACGCGAATCAAGCGGCCATGCTAATGACGTGTCAGTACCGAGCCTGCTTTCCTGTCCCCGGTTTGTTTGCATGTGCTAATTGCTCTTTTGACTCACTGGTGTTTCAGCAGTAAGCGCAAAGACTCTGAACCTGGAACCAAGAGCCTTTTGAGCAACGCCGAGATGATGGCCCATCACCCGACCGATCCCGTGGAGATGAGACGCATCAACTTCCAGACTCCCGGTAGGCAGCGTGCGCCTCCACGGGCACCTGAAGAAACACTTTTTGTTCTGAACGATAAAATCTACTTTTGATTGCTCATCGTTTGAAAATGAAATATTCATGCCGGCAGTTTTATTCCTGGTAGAAACCCACAGACGAGATTGAGAAAGTTTTCCTCCTCATCACAGCCAACACATACCTGGCAGCTTCTAGTCGTTTCTGAGATCAAAATGGCTTCTACCCAGGTAGTACAGTCACTGCTTAGTCACGGCTGAGTCATCACGGTGTGACAAAATCTGATTATCTCCGCTCGCCCACAATCCACATGCCAAGCTGCAGAAAGTAGCATCAGAACAAACAGAAATGACAGAAATCTGCCTTATCAATCTTGAATGTTTAGAGCTCAGAGCGGATTCTCAGAAGTTATGCTGTGGGTTAACAGTGATCATTTGTAAAGCAATTGGCTCTCTTCTCGCCAGCATAACCAACCAAAGCCTCACTTTGAAGTAAATACACAGATTTTGCTGCTTCCCACCCCCTACCGAGCGAGATCTAACAACACAGCTGCTTCGGTCGAGGCAACGGGCCAATGAGGCTTCGCTTTCACTTCTTCCCGTTCAGTTAGCACCATCCTAATAACACATGACCTGAAGGAATTTAATCACCGCTCTCTGTGTATTTTTTGTGGTTGCAATTTATAGAAGCGTTTCGGGGTCCTTGTTGAAAAAGGTGGCGAGATGTGTCACCACAGAGAAAGGTCACCTGCCAGGATATTAAAGGGCAAATGAGAAAGATTTTTATTTAATCAATAGATAAAGGTCTAAAGTTTCTTTTTTTCCCCACATGTTCCTGGGAAGCAAAGAATCCCCCTCCCCACACACACACACTCTCACACATACAGAAGAAAGCACTTCAGAGCTTCTTTCATCATGAGAATTTTTCATGCTCGCGTGGCAGCAACCTTGACGCTCCCTCCTCGCCCACTTCTTCTCCCCTGAGATTTGTGCTTTTGAGACGCTGAAATTTGTTTCCAACAAAACCGGCCGATCCTATCTGAGGTCATTCCGGTCCCGACTTGAACGTTTTGTCGTGCTTACCTGCGGGTGCTGCAGTGCCTGCCTTTAGAGAAAAATCAGCGTTGATGTGAGCACGTGTTTGACGGCTGTAGCAGCACAGCGCGTCAAATGCTTTTCATAGTGCATCTGCGTGCATTATAAATCACCCAAACATCGAAAATGCGTTCTGGAATCTGGCATTGTGAAATCTGTTTATTGCACACAGAGTTTGTGTTAGTTTGATTTATTGTTGAAAGTGTTTGCCTTTTGAATGGGGAATAGATTGCTATAGCTTCTCTAAAGAAACGACTGTACGAGGCAGAGGTTGCTTCCTTTGTGTGCATCCGTGCGCGCGTGTGTGTGTGTGTGTGTGTGTGTGTGTGTGCGTGCGTGCGTGCGTGCACCGCCCTCCTAATTAGTGTTCTGTCTGTGTTTGTTTTCTCTGAGTCGCTGCTCCTCTGATCACAGAGAAAGCAATTTATCAAAGAAAAACAATTTACAAACAAACAAACCTCGCCTCACTTTGTCCGCGCACATGGATCAAAATTGATTTTCTGCCTCAGCGTGTTCCTTAATGATATGTGATGTTGTCTGATTGTATAATTATCGTCGCATCTTTGCATATGAGTGATGTCGAGCGGCGGCAATTTAGGTCGCTGAGCTGAAGTCTGCGTGACCTCTGACCCTCATTGTAACGCAGGAATGATGAGCCATCCTCCCATCCCCATCAGCGAGCTGGCTGAGCACATAGAGCTGCTGAAAGCCAACGACAACCTGAGACTCTCCCAGGAGTACGAGGTGAGAAATACTGTATATTATCATTCCATATAATAAATAGATACCATTCTGTTATTTGGCGATGTTAAGCCTGTTAAGCCTTCATAAAACAAGTGTTACTTAACATTTGTTTACCTGCGTGCAGGCTGCTTGTTCATGATTTATTCAGCAGCGCAATTTATTGCTGTAACTCGTCTACATTACAGAGTGCTCTCTTTCCATTATCCTCAAATGCACCACTAAATATGCCAGCACACGCTATTAATGCACGTATTTTGTTGCTCTCTCGCAGTCAATCGACCCGAGTCAGCAGTTCACCTGGGAACACTCCAATCTGGAAGTTAACAAGCCCAAAAACCGCTACGCCAACGTCATAGCGTACGACCACACCAGAGTCATCCTGTCTCCCATAGATGGTGAGGATTTGCTGGAAATGAATGTCAATTAAAGAAGATTGTGAGAGTTCCTAATGGAGGGGGCGGGGCATGTTTGAGCTGACGGGTGGGTGCATAGCACACAAAGAGTTGGTATGGGGAGAGTGATGCGAGAGCTACATGATAGATGAAATCTGAATTTGCGAACAGTGCTGAGACCAACTGTGTGCAGTGGCATGAGACTGACAAACAGCGTGAGTGCATCCAAGTGCAGCCCGCTCTCCTCCAGAACAAGGAGGAGGGGAATGGTTTTGATCTGGAGCTCATGAATTTACACCGACAGATTCTTGTTTGTTTGCTGTCGTCCACTAGTCATCCAGCAGCCTGTCTGCTGGAAGCCACGGCTGTCAGAAACAAACAGTTCGTTAGGCTGTTGGATGTCATACACGGGGGTTAATTTATTGTGCCACTTGCGCAGATTGCAGTTTAGCAAGAGACTCAGAAGTGTCTCGCTTGCAGGTATCCTGGGGAGCGACTACATCAACGCCAACTACATTGATGGCTACAGGAAGCAGAATGCCTACATCGCGACGCAGGGGCCGCTGCCAGAGACGTTCGGGGACTTTTGGAGGATGGTGTGGGAGCAACGGGCTGCTTCTGTCGTCATGATGACACGCCTGGAGGAGAAGTCACGGGTAAGAAAGCAAGACCTTACCCACTGACCCACATCTGCAATTTCAATTATCCAGAGTCATACTGCATACATGAAACTGAAGAAGAACGTCGCTTTTCTTCTGAGAACTGCAGTACCGATGAGGCTAATGCTTTTCTTCGATCCTCGCAGATCAAGTGCGATCAGTACTGGCCGAGTCGTGGCACGGAGACATACGGGATGATCCAGGCCACGCTGCTGGACACAATGGAGCTGGCCACTTTCTGTGTTCGCACCTTCTCCCTGCATAAGGTACATTATTTCACGCCTCCTGTTCCACCTGTGTGCCCCTCGATTCACTTCTCTGCCCTCACCTCCCTTAAGTTTACGGACATATCCACAGAGAACAGCTTTGATCTCTTGAACTTACAATTTGGAAGCAGGAGCAACTGAAGTAATCATGAGCGAGCAGCGCGTGTGGACACAGAGGATAATAGATTAGTCTGGGCTTCGTGGAGTGTTCAAACCAGGCCAGCCTCCCTGTGTCAGGGACTGTGATTTGATCTCTGTTGGAGGCAGAGCAATTTCTTGTGGCACAGGGCTAATCTAGGACCGTCAGACTGGCGCGTCTCTCTCTGGCCTACTTACAAACAGAAACTAGGCCAGCTGTAGTTTCCAAGTAATACTCCACCTCTCGAAATATTTGTTTATGTGTTGTAAAATGTTGCGTTAGATTAACAAATGACGAAGAGAATAATAATAGTGGGCTGAAGTACTTTTATGTACGAATAGCTTCTTTCAGCTGCTCACCTTTTTTACAGCGGATGTCCTTACCCAGCCAGCCCCCTTATGTTAGGCTGGGGACCAACAGTGGGAGCAATAGATGTGTATCCTGCATCATCATAATAATGTTGGTCCAGCATCAGCATTGCAGCTGACAAATCGCATTGTTGTGATGTCATAGCTTTGCAATGTGGAGTCGAAAAAACCCCACTCTCTTAATATAAAACTCTTTTGGATCAAATAGTCGGTATTTCAATAGCTTTCTATACAACATGGTAAACGTATGATTAAACTGAGGTTTGTTGTTAGCCACATTTAGCTTACTAATCTTGGTTTGGTAGTGATAGTTTTTAATAGCATTAGCTAATGTCTTGGCTAATGCTAACTGAATACTCATACAATATTGTTGTGATGATGTAGGAATAACACCAATACTGGGTTATCAGATTGTGTGTACACTAGCAGTCCTCTTTTTGATATTGGGGTTGTGCTTTTCTCTTTCCCCTGTGAGCTAAAGACATTTTGTGATGTTTTGTAGCTATCCATACATAAAAAAGTTAGCAAACATGCTAACTCCTACATATCAAAATAACCCTTTGTTTCTTGTTTTCAGTTCAATTATTTTGAGTAAATTCTTTTCGTCTTAAGACCAGTGGTCAGTTTTGTGTTTTTAAATGCAGATCCCTGTGAACTTTGATTACGCATTAAATAATTTGCATGAATAAAAACATGTATAAATTTACATTAATTTTAGAGGAAATTTCTGGGATCAAGATTTAATCCGTGTTTGTTTTTAAATTACATTCCTACCAAAATAAGAAACTGGTAGGTTTATGAATTTTATTAAGCATCTGATTTCTTTGCTTCATTTGCATTCGGCTTTGTATCTATTGCATCTTATTATAGTCATAGTTTAATGTGTGTACACACCTTACTCAGTTTCCACTTTTTCTAACACATCAAATATTCTATCTGTCTTAAAACTGATTATTTGGTATATTTGCTAAAAGTCTGACTAGTCCCGTTATAGCCACTAAGTTAAAAACATTATCTTTCCTATTTGGTTTAAATTCTGTATCCTGTGAGATTTCTCTCAAATAAAATCATTCCACTTTTCTTTCTGCATTGCTCTACAAATCCTCCTCCAGGTTTTAACTGTACTATTGACACACTCATTTTATTCCCAAAGGAAATTATTGAACCATTTCATTCCTAAGCTCAAGATGGTTTTTGGAACACACACTTGCAATAATAGATAATTAATCTTGTCAAAGATGGTTAAATTTAACAACTTCCACCTCTTTTGTTTGATCAACTTTTTTTATAAGAGTCTGTGCTAATGAAGCTTACAAATGTCGCCATACAAGTTGTTTTGGCTTAAGTGACACTAACCTCAGTTTTTCTCACATGTTTCTCACATCAGAGTGGAAGCAGCGAAAGGCGAGAGGTGCGTCAGTTCCAGTTCACAGCCTGGCCCGATCACGGCGTGCCAGAGTATCCCACCCCCTTCCTCAACTTCCTACGCAGAGTCAAAGCCTGCAACCCCCCTGATGCTGGACCTATCATTGCTCACTGCAGGTATGCTCACACCCACATTTAATCTATCTTGGAGATAAATAGGATCAATGCGGCTTTCATCATGACTGTGAAGCTTTATTGAGGGAGCGTTTAACTTGGAAAAATGACTGGGAAAGTGGCTGATTTGCTACGCTAATTTCATCTGAAGGTAACAATATCCGACCCTTGCGGAGCTCACTAAATTTCACAGCTGTTTGATCTGCAAAAAACTGAAGAGATTGAAAATTGCATTTTCACTGGTTGGTTATGCTGGGAACTGTTTCTTGGCTGAGTACAGAAAATTCCTTAACTCTCCAGTGGTCAACAGAAATAGTGTGAGAGGACTTGCTATCATTGCGTAGGATGCAATGTAGCCACTGGAAAAATACAGTTTGTCCTGTTCATTCTTTATATTTTTAGTAGATTATATCATTTCGGCTAATTTTTTATTCCCAGTCTTTGGGCCAAGCATCAGCTATTTTTACATTTGACCTGAACTTCTGAAAAGACCCATAAAAACATTGTAATCTTTAAAGAAATCTTACTGAAGAAAATATCAGTATATAAGACGTCTTTCCTCCTCCTATGTCAGTGCCGGTGTTGGTCGCACTGGCTGTTTCATTGTCATCGACGCCATGCTAGAGCGCATCCGACACGAGCGCACTGTGGACATCTACGGTCACGTGACCCTGATGCGCTCACAGAGGAACTACATGGTGCAAACGGAGGACCAGTACAGCTTCATCCACGAGGCCCTTCTGGAGGCTGTGGCATGCGGAAACACTGAAGTGGCTGCCAGGAGTCTCTACTCCTACATGCAGAAGCTGTCCAAGGTGGAGAGCGGAGAGCATGTGATTGGCATGGAGCTGGAGTTTAAGGTGAGAGTGGAGGCAGTGGAGCTGGAAACCATTTAAATGAAATGGAAGGCAAGCAGATTTGACGTCTGATATTTGTTTGAGATGTAGAAAATATTGGCAACATTGTCTCCAAATTTCAAAAAAGAAGTGCCCATTTGAAATAATTGGTTTGATAGTGTGTCTGTGAGTTGTAAACCTTTAAGCTAGACGTGATCTTTGCCTCACAGGTTGTTTTAGTATAGAAAATATTGTTAGAGGCCCAATGATGATATAACACCCATATCTTTGTGATAAAAATAAAAAAGATAATTAGAGCCTGTACTATTTTCAATTTATTAAGTAGTTAAGATAACTCTTGGCTTGTTCCAGTTTCTCAGCTATGACTACATGAATTTATGCTGTTGTTTTACTTTTTGGCAGCAAACTGATTGTTTTGTGTGTTTGGGCTGTTGTTAAACAGTTATTGGATTAAATAATCAATTAAATAATCAGAAAGATGATTTAAGAGTGATTTGAAAAACATTTACTTGATTCATATACTTAAAGATACAGTGTGGAAAATGTCACCAGCAGATGTCAGTAGAGGGTAGATTTCTTACCCCTCTCAATTCAAGTGCATGATTCTATCCATGATGCCCACAGTAGGAAAAAAATTACTGACTGCGCATTTAAAAGAATATAAACACTTTCCTTCATTTTCTCTCCACCCAGCGCCTGGCTAACACCAAAGCCCACACGTCCAGGTTCGTCACAGCCAACCTGCCTTGCAACAAATTCAAGAACCGACTAGTTAACATCATGCCCTATGAAACCACTCGCGTGTGCCTCCAGCCCATCAGAGGACTGGAGGGGTCCGACTACATCAACGCCAGCTACATAGACGGTTACAGGTATGTTTTCGTCCTGCAAACGCTAATATGACCTGACCTCCTCCCTCCGCTGCGGTCCTCTTATGATGGTTTGATGAGTGAATGGACTGGATAGCTTTTCACCACATTGCTCTCACCTGTCACTTCCTGTCAGATCTGTCATTACTGTGTACATGTTGCCACTATTTGTCTTGCTGCATGGCACTCATTTTGGTCCAGTGAAGACTTTCTGATGATTCAGGCATTCAGAGTCATTGTACACACATGTTGTGACTGTTGCTTTTCTTGCCTGCAGCCTGACCCCCTTTTAAGTCTGATTCTTGACAGATGAAGAAACAAGGAGGGAAAAGGAGGTGACAACATAATGTGTGTTTGTGTGCGTTTGTGTGTAGGCAGCAGAGAGGCTACATTGCCACCCAGGGTCCACTGGCTGAGACTACAGAGGACTTCTGGAGAATGCTGTGGGAACACAACTCCACTATAGTAGTTATGCTCACTAAGCTGAGAGAAATGGGACGGGTATGGACAAAATACACAAAGCTAAATAAACAACAGGTCTTGTAACATTGCAGCCCTCTTGCATATGATTACTGAAGACTTCTTATGTGTTCTGCTCTGACAGGAGAAGTGTCACCAGTACTGGCCCGCTGAGCGCTCAGCAAGGTATCAGTACTTTGTGGTGGACCCCATGGCGGAGTACAACATGCCTCAGTACATCCTCCGAGAGTTCAAAGTTACAGATGCCAGGGTTGGTTCATGCTTTGCTTAAAGTGTCCTCTTGCATGTTGCATTCAGAAAACGGTGTAACATCACACTCTGAGGTTATTCAGGAGTATTTTGTCAGTGCTGTTAGCAGGCAGTGGCGCACAGCATGTACTATCGACCTGTAGTGTGTGCTGGTTAGTGTGTGTTTTCTATGTGAATGTGTGTAACACAGCAGGTTCAAGATATTGACAGACTCCTATGGATCACTCATTCAACCATGCTGTCTCCAGATTACCTTGACATTGTGTGTGTGTGTGTGTGTGTGTGTGTGTGTGTGTGTGTGTGTGTGTGTGTGTGTGTGTGTGTGTGTGTGTGTGAATACACACACACACACACACACACACACACACACACACACACACACACACACGTGTCAGTCATACATAAATCCAGTTAAGCCTGTCCTGCCCCGACGCCACATTGACAGATGCTCTATTGATCTCCATTAAAGGGGAGTCAGAAAGGCTGAGCAGAAGAGAAAAGATGTAATTGCCTTCTGAGAGGCTGACAATAGCAGACGCACTGACGTTACAGCTTTAAGTTAACCACAACCACTGATCCAGGATCAGATAACAGTAATCATTAGAAGGAAGAGAGGATATTGCCTGGCAGTCTCACTCCTCAGTCAATACAGCGAGAGGAAGCTTTGTAAATAATCATTTCGAAATAATCACCTTGCATGAAGACCAACTGCACATTCAAGGACAAGCGTCTGAATATGTGAGAAAGACATCAGATAGATGTTCACATCCATATAGTGTGCAGGTTATTGTTTTAACTGATTCTTCGCTCCCCCAGGACGGCCAGTCACGAACAGTGCGTCAGTTCCAGTTCACTGATTGGCCAGAGCAAGGTGTGCCCAAATCTGGGGAGGGCTTCATCGATTTCATTGGCCAAGTGCACAAAACCAAGGAGCAGTTTGGCCAGGATGGACCAATCTGCGTTCACTGCAGGTAAGCACCGGACTTTATATTAGACAACTCGTCATTGGTAATTAAATCACAGTTTAATGTGACTCTCGCCTTTGTAATAACAGTAGTGTGTGTGAGAATCCAGCACACTGTTGATCTGACACACTACATACTCTAGTAAAATTGTTTTCCTTTGTGGCTGCAGTGCCGGCGTGGGGCGGACAGGTGTCTTTATCACTCTGAGCATTGTCTTGGAGCGGATGCGTTACGAAGGGGCGGTAGACATCTTCCAAACTGTCAAAATGCTGCGGACACAGAGACCAGCCATGGTGCAGACTGAGGTAAACACACACTCATTAACTTTTTCTTTTTATTCTTCTTCAGACAAAAGCTTCTTACTAAAACATGATGCAGGCACATGTGAACCGACCGCCTTTCAAACTCTTCCAGGCTTACTCATTAACCAGGGCAGAGACAGTGAAGTAGAGCGCTGCATTAATGAGAATGGTGGTATTTGACATTTAGCTTATCGTTTATTTTAACTATTTGGTGATTAAAGGAAAATCTCTCTATTAAAGTCTTTTTGTAAAGAATAATGTGGATTAAGAAACCATTAGATTCATATTATCACCAAGCGTTTAAAATTCACCCAAAGTATCAGAGATGGAAATGTTAACCACATAAACGAGATCATAATTCCACTGGTTGTGTATGTATTTGCAGTCAGATCTGGGAAAAGAACAGAAATGTCACTAGCATAAGAGTTTAGAATTATATTCATTATCTGCCCAAGAAGCTAAAGTGCTTCGCAGCTTGGCATGCTGAACTGTACTGCATATTTTTAATCCATGCTACAATAACACAGGCAAAGCCTTAATGTCATTTAGGCAGCGCTAGCTATTGATGAGCAGTCCCACCCACATCAATATACATTTGCATTAGCATAAGTAGGACACTGAAAGGAGGAAATAGCCCCCAGAGTGTGAATTTTTCATTGTAAACTGTAACAGCAACACACACAAGCTGGTGGAGCACTTTGTAACAGTGTCATGTTATATTCTGTATACAGAAGCAAGGTATGCACATGGTTTAATTCATAGTTTTATTTGCATAAACATGTGAACGCATATTTGATAAAGTGCTGTGCTTTACACTATGCACTAGTGCACTGTTTTACTATATGTAAAAATTAGAGATGGCACGATACCACTTTTTTATGTCCGATACCGATATCATAAATTTGGATATCTGCCGATATGATATGAATCCGATATAGTGTTTTTAATCAATAAAACTGTTTTTTTTTTTATATCTTGCTGCATTTTGTATAAGTTCATACTCAAGTTTTAAAAAACAAGAGACTGAAGCTATTCTGTTATACCTGTATGCAAAAAATACACTGCAACCAAAATATTTCATAGTTCAGCAAAACTGATCAATCTAATGAACTTAAACCTGCTCCATCCTTCCTATTCTGGTATTTTAAAGAGTAAGCAACCTAACTAACAGGGTTGAAAACTCCCAGCAAAAAAAAAAGAAAAAGAGAAAGGGAACCCTCCACCCTCCACCTCATGATGCTTAATGATGCATAATCAACTTTAATTTGATGCAGTGTGAAGAAAAATGCACAGAAATCAATTATTTTTCTACAGTATTTAAATAGATTCAACATCTTTCTTCAACAGAATTGCAGACTGCACAGATGGTATCTTCCCAAAGGAAAAAGTACTATAGCTTACTAGGGTATATTAGACTTAATAGTTACTATATACAGTAATGGACTTCTATATATTTCACATCAGATTAAAACTTTGGGTGTAAGATTCAGATAATTATTTATTAAAAGCTAGACATTTTAAATGAGAATAAGAAAGAAAAGTATGTCTTTGTGCCCCCTTTTCCCTGTTCATGCCCCTGGCTAAACTTTGCCAGGGGGGCCCCTGCACAGTTACCAGCCGTCAGCTGCGTAGAAAAGGATCCTGGTGTAGAAAGTAATATTAAATACATTCTAACAACAGATTATCAAGCTTAAACGTGCTGCTGTTGTTCAGCCGCTGGTTTCCTCTTTCTGGCGCAAAGTGGGCAATAAACAAACAAGTGAGAAAAGCCGATCAGCTGATCATTGATCAGTTTCAGGATTGAAGTAGCAACAGGAGAGGGAGGGAGAGAGAGGCAGTCGCTCCATATATCGGTGGTTAAGCTTAACACTGGAATGCTTTACAAACATTCAGAGATGAACTTACACACTTGCTTTACTTCTCTCGGAGATGAGATGAGGCTCCAAATGCTCAACCAGACCGTCGACAGGTCTCGCGCCACAGCCACTCTATCACCTGACGCATACTGCTCCAACGTGCTACGGTTATGAGCCGAGTTACGTTTTGTGAGGTGCTTTTTTGATATTTAATGGATCGGATTACTTTTTTTTATTTCTCTCCGATATCCGATCTAGTAATTTAGGTCAGTATCGGACCGATGCCAATACGTAATATCAGATCGGTTTATCTCTAGTAAAAATCTGACTTTTTCATGTTAATTGTAAGGAATTAATGAAAATATATTTCTAAGTGTGCTCGAGTGCTAAATGCATATTCATAAGTATACAGCATTGTGCAAAGGTCTTGAACCACCTGATTTCTCTATGAGCAACAGTTCTCCTGGCTTTCTGCTGATCTTTTAAAGATTTTCTTTGGACATTTGCTGCTTTTTCACTCATTTTCAGGCCAGTCTTTTTACCTGAACTGAGCAGTGTTTTTCATTTGTTCCTAAGCCACTCAACACTGACCTATGAATCATTTGAGAAACATGAATGAAAAAAAGCATATACCTCAAGGGAGAAGCCACTGTTGTGTCTATACATAACAGAAACCTTAGCTAAGAGCCAGTTTTAAAGTATCTGTAAGCACTTTGTTACTAGCAGCTTGTTGTAAAGCCACAGGCTTGGTTTGGAACTGCATTTCTTCCAAATATATGACACTCTGTTTATGGGAAATATATTTTTCCCTTATTTGTACTTGTGTTTTTCACACAGGACGAGTACCAGTTCTGCTACCAGGCTGCTCTCGAGTACCTGGGTAGCTTTGACCACTATGCAACGTAAGAGAACAGACAACCATCCATCCATCTTTCTGCTTTGAGGTCCACAAACAAAACCAACCGAGTGAGCCAACAGAAAGACGGCGTGAGATAAACGTGAACATTGAACCTTTTCCGGGAGCGAGATTCAAATTCTGCACCAACGAGGACAAAAAGCAACAAAAACAGCAACAAGAAAATCTCTGTCTAACAGCGTCTCAGCAGGAGTTTCCCTGAGGAGCTGCTGGGTGTGGAGACTATCCATGTGTAATCCATATACTTACCTCAGTGTTCCAGTGTGAAGGACGTATAATACATGTGTGTTGTGGTCAGCTATCTCCAATATGAACCAGTGAAATACAAATGGCTTCTGAACAGGAATTATGATACTCTATGTGTATAAAACAAACAAACAAACAAAAAAAGATTTTAAAAAAACTAAACAAAAAAAACACAAGAGCCTGGATATTTGCTGCACCCTAAATGGGCTTTTTATCCTCAACTTTGTATCTATTGGTTTGATGTACTAAAGGGGTTACAAAGTGCAAAGGTGAACGTTTCTATGTGTCTGTGAGTCTATTTCTAAGGTGTCTACTGCTACCATCAGTAGTCCTGCCTGTAGTTTGACTAGGTCGTGGCTCAGCAGAAGCCTTCAGTATGGACTCACCACCCCGAGGACTGTTGGAGAAGCATGTGGATGATCATTTACCTGATGCACAGTGCCAAGAGAAACCATGCAGCGTGAACATAAACTGTGGCCTAAAAGGAGAGGTGACTCCTTCTTTCATCCAGCATAACATAATCAGACTAGAGACCGCTCCTTAAAAAAAAACACAACACAATAACAAGGATGAGTTGGCAGCCCCAAACAGCTGACCTCGAAACAGCGATTAAAACCTACTGCTTTCTTCACTCAACAAAGCTTGCTCGCTATTTGCTGTAGTCCTTGTTCATCTTCCAGCTCGGCTCCTCTTGATGTCAGTCCTATCGGTTCAGTTCAGCAGTGGCTTACTGAAGAGAGGCTTAATGAAAGAAAGAACTGAGCTCCAGTCAGTGTCTTTCTCTCTCTTGAGTTCAGAGAGCCATCTTTCTGTAGATTTTTCTGTTTTCACTGTATGTCTTTGCCTTACGTTGACTTTATTTTTTTTTCTTGCGTCCTTCACATGCTGCTTCATGCTCGCGCAAACCGTGTTAAAGCTTTTATTGCCGTGCATTGTCTTCACTCGAGGATGAAAATTTTTTGTTTGGTTGGTTTTGTCCCGATCATCTTCCTCCACTGAAGTTCTCCTACTTGAATTTTGCCGCTTCTGCAGTTGAACCCTTGTGTTAATTGCTTTTCCTTGCTAAGGCTACCGTCAGTGAACGATTACAGGAAAAAATTCAAATTACATTCAAAGCTAGTAGTGAACCGCTCACTTTCAACAGTCCTCTGCCTCTATCCCATCCTCCTGTTAACCCTATTAAAAGTTTCTCTTTTCCTTAAACCCTTGTTGTACAGAACATGCTCAGCTTTACCGACTGATAGATCCCCGCCCTCCCCTTCCAATTAAGTATGACTGCACAACTCCTCGATATGGTTGTTTATCTTTTTCTGAATTTGAAATGTAGTCATGATTGGTCCCACGTGGTGATTAAACAGCACAGCGATGTTCCAATATAGCAGACATCTCGACCGAAATCACCGATTGTGTACATACAGTCTATCATTGGAGTCCTATACAGTACAGTTGCATAACGTCTGAGCACAAAATATAACGTGGGATTGGATGTGATGTAGTACTTATTGTCGCGAAAAAAGAAAAAAAAAAGAAAAAAGCCTTATTGTTATTGTTCACTTCGTCATATTTATTTCGTATGATTTTTTTTAAAGGATATTTATTATGACTGTTTTGTTATTTTTTAAGTTTGTTTTTATTTATTTGGGATTTCTAGCAGTTCTATCCAATAAGACGATGTTTATTTGCTTCTTTGGCGAGCCATTGTTAAAGTATGATATTGTCACTTTTTTAATTTTGTCTTTAACCGTCCATTTTGGTGCTTTTTTTTTCTCCTTTTTTTTAAAAGAAAATTGCTTTATTGTTATAACGTATGCCCTCAGTGTAGGGTGCTATTTGATACTGATTACTGATGTCCAACTAGTCAGCTAGAGATGTACGTACAATAGAGGCAGGACTAGCTTCAGTTTACAGAGATGCCCTTTCGATGCTCTCCCTCGTTCAACCTCCATAGCTGGAGGTACGTTTCACCCCACCGTGATAGGTGTAAGGGCATCAGAGAAATTAGATATATAGAGCAGACTACAGGGCAGATCGGTGAAGACCTCCTGGCAAGCTGTTGGTGTTTAGTTTGCTTGAAAGCACATGGTAGCAAGTGTATTTTTGACAGAGAATGGATAAGAATTGCCTAGCTACACACTTTACACACCCTGAAAAGTTATTGTTTGAACCTGAAATTATTCTCATATGAACTCTATGTGTGGTCCATAAGTCTTGACAATGTTTGACATATATGAAATATGTTATTCCTTCGATTTCTAATGATTATTGTGTCAAGAGAAATATAAAAGGCACACGCGAAACATTATATGAAATGTGTTGAGGGAAAAGCTCTGGTGATGCCATACCCCTCACTTATGTACCTGTTCTTTCCTTTCGAACCATAGATGTAGATATTGTATCTCGACTTTGTATTAAAAGCAGGATGATTGGATATACAGCACAATGAGCTGCTTGATTCTTGTGGGGGGGGGGGGGGGGGGGGGGTAGCTCTTTGGTGTGATTCACTCTTCGATCACTAGATGGGGCCAAAGTCGCTGCACCTACTCTTCAGTAGTGCGCACACAAACAGAATCTGTTTGGATTCGGTTTAGCCTCCTTTTTCCACTCAAAATGTACAAAATTCTTTAGCTTCAGCTTTTACTAAAATCTTGAAAAATTGCAGGTGAGTTCTTGGTCTTGCAGGTACTTCTTGTGCTAATCAAGCAAAAAGCCCTGCCTGAATGTAAAAAGTGCAGATGGTTGACTGAAAATGTTGCCCTATCCAAACTGAGAGAAAGAGACGACCATTTACACTGATTGGTCACTTCATTAGTTCCACCTTCCTTGTGGTTGTTTAAACGATGATCAGTTGGTACAAAGGGCTCAAGTACTGTTGCCTTCCTATCAGCTCCAAACAATGTACTGATTCTTCTCTGACTTCTGACATCAACAAGGGATTTTGGCTCAGAGAACTGGAGCTCCCTTACTCGGTACTCTTGGTGTTTTTGTGGGAAAATCCCAGCAGATCAACAGTTGTTCTGCGCTGGTGCCAGACAGACTGGTCCGCCACTTAAAATCAGCTCACTTCCCCATTCTGTTGCTCAGTCTGAGCTTCATGATCCCGTATGCACACCGAAATGCATCAAATTGCTGCCATGTGATTGGCTGATTAGATGTTTGTGTTAAAGAGCAGGTAAACCCAATAAAGTGGCCGGTGAACGTGTATGCACTTTCTAGTCTTACTAACCACTCAGAGGGTTTTCAGCAAAACAAAGAATATTCATGCATTCAGATACATATTCATGTAGCTCTTTATCTTACCTATAATAATGAATGCATGAGGCACAATTTGACGTTGACCAATATTCTTAATTTTAGTCTACCTACCTCGTTCCTGAGCCTCGGCCACCTCTACATCTTCAGTATCGAGGTTTATTAATGAGTGTTTTCAAAGGATTAACTCTAAATATTAACAATAATTTTTTTTTTAACTTTGACTTTTGACTATTTAAGCTCTGCGACAAGTTTAAAATGTTATAATCCCAAGTTCACGTATCCATAAGGCTTTGACTCTATACAGTTCTAATACATTATATCTAATATATCATCTCTATAGCACAGTAGTGACGATGTTCATTATAAAAATCTATAACTGTTGTCACATCACAGGTTCCTTACTTGATAAAATTAAGTAGGCAAGTAAATTTTATTCCTATAGCACATGTAAAACCAAAGTGCCTTATACTAACATAACAAAGAATATTCAGGTTCGTGAAAAATGTATGCCACACACATTCACAATGTTTACATGGAATAACTTAACAACAACCAATCGTCCAATCACCATTCCAGAAATCAGCAGTTTCTAAAAGTTTGACAGAAATGTTTGTTTTTCCAGAGTTTCAGTGTAACGACTGCAAAGGCACAAGCCCCGACCTCAGGATGATCAGGAGTGTTTGAGAATCAGATCTTAATGATTTTAAACAATACATGGATGCCACAAATCTGTCACGTGCAGTAACAAGACCATTTAAACACAAACAATTAAATTGTTAAAAATAGAGATTTTGATGTGTCTGTTGGGAATTTAAACCAGCCTAATAATGAACAGAACTCCATTTCAGGTATTTTAAATGGAATTTTATTCAGTTAAAATTAAACTTTTAACATAAAAATTATATTTAAGATACCTCCACTTCTTCTAAATAGTCAAAAGTAAAAAAATTTCACATTACAAAAATGTCTTTCATCCCTCACCCCATCCATTTAAAGCCACCCGTCAAAAATATGGATTGAACAAACCAGAATTTATGGCAGATAGTGACGGAAACCAGGACTGGACAGACTACTTTCCTTTCATCAGGAATGTTGCTCCTCGGATTAGTGATAGGGTCTGTTTTCAAAGCACATGCCATGCACAAAGAGATTATCAACTGCTGTTCACTAATGCTCACGAACTTGCCTGTCCTAGGCAGAGCTCTACACGTGTCTGACGTCTGGACTAAATCTGAAAAATCTGCCTGCCATCCTCATTGTTCCTGACTGTTATCGGTCTGATATGAACATCTGCTGCATCTTACACTGTTTCTTATCAGACGGGGCCAAATGTTAACTTACTATTTCTTTGAAATCTCTCTAAAAGCCAACCCCTCACTGCTGTTAAATGTTGCACAGAGGAACAGAAAGGGAAAGTCAAGAAATGCATTGTTCTGTCCATGAAAGGCACGTTTACAAGCGCTTTCATGACTCCATGCTGGTGCACGTCCTTAATGAGATGTGTTAAAACACGTCAGGTATGTTACAAAATCAACATTATTTGCCTGTACACGGTTTTGTGCCCCAGTTGGTTCCACACCTACAGACAAGTCACAGCAGTCAGTGTGAAGCACCCGTGATGGTGTCAGCGTTAGGGCTGAAAAATTCCTATTATGTGAATTATTTAAACACATATGCTTGAATTTAATTTCACTCTGATTGACATTAATTGTACATAGCGTTTTTCTGTCGGTACATTTTAAAAACTCATAAACTGTACAGGTTAAAAAAAAACACTCAGTTAAATTAAAACTTTTATGTTTACACAATTTCTTTGATTACCTTTCTTTTTATAGCAGTTATCACTAAGGAAAATCTGATCATCAAAAAAACAAACTGGCTGCTCAGTGGAGGAGGAAGGAAAAGAAAACCAAAGAAAGATCCTTAACCTGAGTTGATTTTATACTTCATAACAGAAACAGTCTTCTACCGCAAGAACTTCTTCACTGCTTCCATAATACGCAGTATTACTCTGCATGTACATGCAGTACATAAGTGGGCGAAATAAATACTAAAGTGTGTTGCATATTACTAGAAAATGCAACTGTATAAACTTTATTTTCATTCTTGAACTTGTATACAAAAACAAAGAGATTTCCTAAGATCCTCTGTCAGAGCAGACACTTTTGTTTCAGTTCTCAGAGGTTGTGGCTCTGTTTCATTACAACATCTCATTAAGAAAACATTGCTTCATTATTTACACCTGTGCTTTCCCCCTCTCGCATATCAAAATATGCCGCGATGCAGAAGAGCACAGTTGTTTTGACAATCTAATATTTCATTAATTTGCAAGGTGGTCTGCAGATGGCACCGGGGTGCAGAGGTTAGTGCGATTTCCCAACAGCAGCTGAAGCCTCCTGCTTGGCTCCTCTCTGTGTGAGTTCTCTTTGTGTCTGCACCACTTTTGTCCCATATTCCAGAGACATGCTGCTTTAATTTGGTATTTTAAATTGGCTTTAGGTGTGTGTGGTATTAGCCCTGTGAGATGGACTTAAAAATTCTAAAAAGTGGTCAAACTGATTCGACTTGTTCACTCGAGTCAAAGTAAAGAAGTACTGAAAGTATACAAGAAAAAGTAGATCTTTATTTATTTGCCAAGCCATCTGAACCTCATGTCACATTAATATTAATGCAACTTAGATCCGATTCTAATGAATGCACCCAGCTTGAACATCTGTTGCGTAGAACACAAGCAGAGAAACTTAAAAAAGGAACTATTTTTGCTGTTGCCTGCATTGTAGATGGGTGACCTTCCCTTCAAAGCTAAAATAGAAAAATGAATAGACCCAGAGGTTAAAGTGGGGTTTGGCAGGTGGAGAAAAACAGTTAGAAACAGCTACAGTAATTTCCAATGTGAACAAAGCCGATTTTTTTTTATGATATTTTATTATGGTGATCTATTGTACGTGTAATCATGCATGGAAATTAGCTATCAGCTAACTCTGGTACAATGCATCAAATGGCAATACTGACAGCCCCTTTTTGAATAACATTCATTTAAAAAAGAAAGAAAGATGTTGCATGAGCTAACACGGCTGATTTTTAGCCTCCAGACAGTATAAAGCTAATATACAGGTGGAATTCAGTGAGTGAATCTAAACGTAACCTAACTCTGACCATGAACACCACAGACACTCTGCACAAGTCTCACACAATGCATAAGTGTAAACTTTGCCACAATACCTCCGCCTGTGTTAAACTGCCTGGAAATTTCATGCAGTCTTTAAAAAATAATACGTTAGTATACTTCAATTTGTTTTGCAGGATGTTTCACTGTATAAACAACCTAACTTCAGCAACAAATCTTGTGTAGCTTCGATATCCGTACAAAAAAAACAAAAAAAACAACTGAAATTACTGGTTTATCAAATCTAAATGAGTAGTGCTTACGTTTAAAAAATAATCTCGTATCTTCCTCTTTTGTCTTTCTGATATCTTTCTGTATCTTGGAGTGATTTTATCTCACATTCTTTTCTCTGTCTGGGAACTACAGGAGCGAAACCTTTACTTTTAACTTCACCTTTGTACACAAACAGGTCGCGTGTTTGCCCACATTTGCTGAGCTATTAGAAAAATTACCTGCAACCTGGCTTCTTTTACATACATATATATAATTTGTTCGCATTTATTTATTTATTGTGGAAAAACGAACCCGACATTTCTGATAAAATGTAGGGAGTAAAAGTACACAGTGGCGTGTCTAGAAAATTTTTGTTGGGGGGGCCAGGTAGGGGCACAGATTTGGAGAAGGGTGGCAGATTTAATTGGCAGATAATGTTAAAAACAATTCTACCAACCGTTAACCATAATTCAATAACCCTATAAACCTAATAACCGAATGAACTTTTAACTCTTATTAGAATGAGATTTTAACCACTACGGTGCAAAGTTTTTAGATACTGCGTTGATAAAGTACAAGAGATACAATCAGTCAGTGTTTATTCAGCATTCAAGGACATCAATATTTGCATAGTATTTTTACTGACATGTAGTGCACATATGTTTTGGGCAAAAACATTTTTGAATATTAAAATACGAACATTTGTAACAAACAATTGGCAAATTAGCCAATGCCAATGCAAAACCAATGCCTGTTAAAAAAAAGAAGATAATCTTCTCACAAACTGGTGTCTGATGTTGAAACAG